ATTTCTTACAGCTCTTATGGATTGGTTTGTTTGTGTCCCGTTGACAGGCAGGGCATCGTACTGTCAGACTCTGAGGAGATATTCGCTGAAATTGTCAAATGTATTTGATTAGAATGGCTCCACCTTTCAAATGCTGCTAAATTAGTAAATGTTTTTGTTTTACAATCAAACTTCATTAATTGCAATCAACAATTTCTTTTAAGGCTATTCTCAGATTTGAATGTATCATATAATTAAATCTTTTTTCTTCAACGTAACAGCAAACACTGAACAGCACTATTTCTTCTCTTCAGGCCAGTTTATTATTGATTGCATCAAAGTGTGTAGGCCTACTTGAAACGCAAATCCTCAATATCGCAATTTTGATTCAATTTATAAGCAAAAATATGGTTTTGAATGTTATCCGGAAAGTAACCCCAGGCGCAGGGTAAGATCATCCACATGTCCTAATCTATCAAATGTGGTCTTCTGCATGGCACTCAAGTCAAACATCTTTCAACTCCCCTTGTATTTCCTTTTTATGGACAAGAAACCCATCTAGCCCAGACCATTGAGCACAGCTTATATGGGCTGTACTGCGTGTGGCGTTTCAAAATTACATTGTTTCATGTTACGCAAAGATTTGTTTAGAGCTTTAATGTAAAGTCTTTCCTTTATGCCTGCTTGCTGCAGCACAAGGCCAAGGAAGGGTTCTCACTTGTTAGCAAGCGCTGCAAGAAGATCCCAAGCCTCAGACTTCCACAGCTACCACACAGATTAGAGCCAAACCTGCTGTTTGTAAGAGAGCCTCCAAGGAAAACAAACCTGCCTTTTTAGCCCTATTACCAGAGAGAGAGAGAGTGGGGCTAGAGTGGGGGCTAACAGCATCACGGTTGGAAGAGAATCGAGCAAGAGAAAAGGGGGCTAAACCTGGTTGTGTGTTGTCATTGATTAAATGTAGCCTTCACAGTAAGACATGGCTTGACACATGTTGGAAGAGAGTGGGGTGTTCTCTCCTCTGACGCCCCCTAGAGGTTGATATCTTCATCCCTCTTGTGGAAAACTGCCTTCCTCATGAGTTTTCCAGCTGGAGCTTCAGAAACGTTTCTGTTGTTTTGCTCCTCATGCTACTTAAAGGAAAAATTCCCTCAGTTTGTCCCCGGTCTGTGTAAATGTATAGTTTCTGTTGCCTAGTTTATATGTGTGGTGGTGTGTGACTTTGCCTTGTGTCCGCTCAGGTTCTGCATGACTTGGTGCATGTGGGTGTGCACGCCGGTGTTATAGAGAGGGGTCTGGGCAGTGTTCCCGTGTCCATGCACAGCCCCCAGAGTAAAGTAAACACAGCGGCTCTTTTCTCATCCCAGCCGTCAGCAGGCTCTCCCCAGGCCCGCGCCAGAGACCACACACCCAGACCACACACACACACACACACACACACACACACACACACACACACACACACACACACACACACACACACACACACACACACACACACACACACACACACACACACACACACACACACACACACACACACACACACACACACCCACACACACACACACACACAAACACATATACACACACTGCCCAGACCTCTCCGCAGATCCTTCCACATACTCGCATACACACAGACCACACAACACCAGCTCGGGCCCCTCGCACGCAACCTAGCTGAGCTGTCATTCTGCCCAGCGTGTATGTATGTATGTATGTGTGTGTGTTTGTAAGTGTGTCTATGTGGGGGCCGGCTATCTGTGTGTTTGTGCACGTGTATATCCAAGTTGAGAGGAAGGGGGGGTAATCTAGAAACACTCCTGGTCCTGGAATCAGACTTGTACAAAATGAAGATCTTGTCCTCTGGCCCTCTGCCGCTCCCACTCTAAACATGTGGGATTGATGAAGGATATACGCAGCTCTTGTTTTTAGTCCTGTTAACCTCTTATCTTCGTCATGTCAGACCTATAGCCCGTCCATTTCCTCTGACAAGCGCAGGGCAGCAGAAACAACATGAGGTAAATCCCATTGGAGTGTTCTCGTTAACTCTGGGATGTCAGGGTGATGAAGGGTGGCCCCGTGGCAGAAAGGTTTCCCAGGAAAGGTTCCTTCTCTCAGGGGTTTCTAGGTTTATACTTTTTATTATTCGCTTTTTTTGTTGATCACTTATCCTAGTGACCCATTTCAAAACATTTCAAAGACAGAATAAGGAAAATCTGAAGGAAGTCTGTAGATTTTTGGGTTACAATGATCCAAATATTAGAAAATTGATAAATAACGACCTTGTGGAACTAAAACGCTAACCCTAACCCTAATCCTGGTTGGTAAATATTCAATCTAAGGACAATAATAATCCTCATTATCCAGAGGTTGCGTACCTACTTTTGGCTCCAGAACCACAATTACATTTGTTGTGACCCCTATTCAAAATAAAAGTATATCTTTGCTATTGAACACGTATGAAAGAAGATGTTTTCTGTACTCCTCAAAGGCCTACACTAAGATGCCTTTGAGGAGTTGAGAACATATCCAAACTGCAGCTCTGATATAAATGTAGATGCTTCGAAAGGTTTATAAAAATGTTTATTGACATTATTGAAAAGGTACAAATTAAATAGTATTTTATTATTGAAGGTTAAAGGTGGTATTGTAATGGACTGCATTACATTAAAGGTAACAAAATATCATTCGGATTATATTCAGTCCTGTCACTAACTATGATCCGAATGCTAAAACTAATTCTGGATTAACAACCACAGAAAACATGAACATACTGTTAAACAAGAGTACAAATGATACCTAAGACTTTCAATATGGCAGAATGGGTGTATTAGACTTTACTTACATAATAAATTGGCCACTGAGTGTAAAGCCAACCATGTTGTCAATGATGTTTATTTGAACTCATCATGTGGCATGAGATAGTTATGGTGTCAGAGGGCTCGGACTTACACACTTGATTTTATTATCCATTAAGGAATGTCTAGACTAATGAATGAATTATTCAGTCAATAAATTGTCGAAAAATAACAAGTCCAAGATGACGTCTTTTAAATATCTTGTTTGTTCTGAGAAACAACTCAAAATATAAATATAGATATTTAATATAAAAACAACAAAGGAAAGACCGAAACGATTGTCCGAATAGGTGCCAATGAATTTACCACAGATTGATTCATTACATATTTGTTCCCGCTTTTTATAAAAATTATTGTTCACAATTTCTGAGGTTGATGGAACAGACAGAATTCCAGCAAAAAGATGTTGTTTTTTCGATTGATTTTAATTGAAGTTGACTAACTTAATTTCTACAATTGATCAAACACTGCTTTTCCAAGCTTTGCCTTTCTGCTTTTCCTGTTTTTTTCTGACTGCTGGCTTTACCAAACCATTGGAAGACCGTCTCAGAGAGTTCGTGGTTAACATGTTCCGCCTACACCCAGTGTCTGGTGACCATATAACTTTACTAAAAATTCCCGCCTTCCCTGGTTCGGACCTTTTGAATTCTGTGCCAAATTGAAATGGACTCTTACAACTGGACAATTGTGTCTGATGTTAGGCCAGTTACCACCATGAACGTGCTGCAGGTCCAGTCCGTGTGAACTCCTGCATTGTTTGTGGAGAGCGTGTTTTGGCTGCGAAGCAAAAGGGCGGAAGCCTCTCTCAAGCAGCTTCAGAGAGTCCAGATCGGTCAGCCTCTTTCAGACCTGGCAGTCATTTATTAACAAACATCTGTGCTGCTGAAATACATCCTTTCATTTTTGCATTCGGACTCTTTCCCTCCCCTTCATTTGATCAGCCCCAACATGAACTGATTTCCATGGGTGCTCCTTCGCTGGTACCATAATCTGCTCTGCATTGTGTGGGCTTATGTGGAATGATTGGAGAGGCCAGGTTTATTTATCCTTCGCTGTGAGGTTTACATTCTTCCTTTCCTCCCTACTCTCGGTCTGCTCCTTCGCTCTTGGCTCCCTTCTCTATTTTTCCTATTATCTGAGAGATAACTGCTGCAATGCATACATTGTTTGGAGACCTACAGGGCGGGAAATTAACACGAGCTGCCAGCCAAATTTGCTCCAATTTTGCTGTCCCCAGTCAGTTCTAAAAACCTTAATATCTGGCTGTCTGTTGATTTAGTTAAAAAAAATGTTTTACCATATTTATTATCTCTACGGGGTCGTGGTTCTATTCTTCTTATATCCCATTTAAGATGTGGTGGTATAGCACAATATCGTAAACCTTTGTTGTGTCACGGTTTGACAATGCTAATATCCTTTATTGGTTTATCCACAGAAGTTATTTCCGCTTCTGGAGTTATCATTAGTGATTATTTTCACTGCCTGGATTTTTATTTGATGTCAGTCTGCAACATGCAAACGTTATAAATATCTAATTATTTTTTACTGATTATTAAAAACTTGAAATACATTTTTTAATAGACTTACATTGATACTCTGATTATTGTGTTATAAATGTTTTCATTATTAGATGTTCATATAGTAACTGAAATATCAGTGTGTTTGTTGAGTTTTAGGTTACTCTACATGGAAGGAAATGTCACCTGAGAATTAAATAATGTTCTTTCAACTGTTCTAAAACAGAGATGATCAGGATACTTTGTTCATCCTGGGGAAAAATCTAGAAGGAAAAGAAAGCATACAATATTTATTAAAACACAAGAAGTTGGAGTACAAATGTGCAATAACAAGATACAAATAAAATAAAGAAATGTATACAAAAATAGGAAATTAAAGTAAAATGTCTTAAAATAAAATAGGATTACAATATTTATATAAACATAAGAATTTAAAGTAAAAATATGAGAATGGAACGTCAATATATAACATGTATTTTAAAATATAAACAGTGGTATATTAGTATGTACAAGATATTAATGCAGAATTGTAGAGTTTAAGGGATTATTGTTTCTTTGGGATTACTGTGTTTCTAGCAGAAATCCTCAGAAGCAACTTAATAATGCAGTCCTCTAATGCATGCTTCCTTCTCCTCTCTGTTTCCAGGTCCAGGAGCTGATCGTCTGCCTCAGGCCACCATGTCTCGCGCCCGCCAGCCCCCGCTGGTCACAGGCATCTCGCCCAAGGAGGGTGCGGCTTGGACCAAAGTCACCATCCGTGGAGAGAACCTGGGCACGGGCCCACCCGACCTCATCGGTAACACTTGTATAACCGCACACAGCACAGTCTTGGTTAAATGTATTAGTTTATTTCATTCCTTTAAATTCAATTATCTTCAGTAATATTCATGACAAAAAAAGTGTTTCATATTTCTTTGTATTTCTAATTAGGTATGCATGTATTAACAAGTTAAGATAAATATACAGTATATAGATGTTATTTTGATCAGCCCATATAATACGTGAACAATGTGGAATTCAAAATGATTCGTTGATAAATCTTAGGTGATGATTTGTATCGTTTGTATTTCTCTGTGGTTGCTTTTGTTATAAAAGAGGGACACTGATGTTGAGTGAATAAAGCAGCGTTATTTTTGTCATTGAATTTCTGCTGTGGTGCGTGGAGTATTTTGTAACTTAAGTCGTATTAACTGGTTTTATTAACAAACCCGTCAACAAACCACAGCAGGCCCCTTTTTTTAAACAGGCTGGTGTAACGTTTATTTTTGTTTATATGATACGTAAGTGGACAAGACGCCTGATTCTTATCCTCCACTGGTCCATTTAGATTTTCTTTTCTTAACAATTTAATAAGTTCAGTAAAAAATACTGCATTTTCGTAGAGAATAATTGTTTTGTATTTGACACCTATAGATACGTAGCAATAATGCATTTCATTTAAACTGGCTGTTTACATTTTTTAAAAGTATTTTCTGAAGGCAGTTCGGTTCTCCTGAAAAGTTACTTAAGATTCAGTTCACACAAAGCAAAAGTTGTAAAATCTGACAAATGTATTTTGTTATGCAACAGTAATTTGAGATGCATCATCTGTACTTGAGATTCTTTTATTCTACGAGTAAATAATCAATTCATAAATAAAATCTTCCAGCACTTTACGAAGACTAAATAAACTCAACCAAAACTCCGACAGACCAACACAATAAAATAATAAGATATTATCCTGTTATGTAATTCAAAAGTACTTCTTCTGTGATATTCCTGCCAACTCTGTGTGCAACACACAGCATTCTTGTTTCTGTAAATATTTAGATACTGTATGCCTAGTTTGAGAAACTCAAGAAGGAAAGATGTTGTTAGTTTGTCTTTTTTAAGAGCCACACAGATGGACTATCTCCATCTTCTTCTGATTATGTGTTTGAACGTCACACTTTTCACATGCCGATATTTCCCCTCATGTGCGCCAATTCCTCCTTTACTTCTTTGGTTTGAGTGGAGGTGGGGGGGCAGTGCAGAGGACTCACACACCGCTCCATGCTTGGAAAGCCTCGCTCTGGCCAGCGATACAGGGCTATTTCTGACTGAGTGTCCCCGGGGCCTGGAATTCAACAATTAGATATGCACAAATGTGTGTGAGTGCTTATGTGTTCAAACAAAGTGGCCAGTAGAGAACAGAGGCAGGAAATGGGGCCCTAATTGGCATATTATTCACGCTTTTATGGGCTATTTCTCAATCAGCTTTCACAGGCTTTCATCGTGTTTTGAAGTGACGCTTTTTGAATCCCCTCCGCTGGAACCGTAATCCCGTGTCTCTCTTCTAGTGTCCAAATAGTTTTCAAGAGGGTTTTAAAAAGAGCACGACAGATGTGAGGGGCAGAGTGCACATTGTGCCAGTAATGGGCCACTTAGCGCTGAAGTGACACACGTTAGCTTAAAGCAGCTGAGTGAGAGGAAGGAAGGTCACGGCCACCCACACCCACCCTGACCCCAACTTGAGCTTTGACCCCCTGGTGACAGTTTGACTAAACTCGCTGATAGACGTCAATTCTGTCTGAGTGAGCTCCTCTTGTTTCAGATAGTCTGTGTGTGTCGGTGCTACACGGTGTTTATTTATGCTGTCACACTGTGGCTGTATCTCTCACCCTTTTCACCTCTTCCCTCTCAGGTCTGTCGATCTGCGGCCATAACTGCCTGCTGACAGCAGAGTGGATGTCTGCCAGCAAGATAGTGTGCCGCGTGGGGCCTGCCAAAGACGACAAGGGGGAGATCATCGTCACCACCAAGTCCGGGGGTCTCGGCACCTCCACTGTCTCTTTTAAACTGCTCAGGCCAGAGAGGATTGGTAAGACATTTCATTCGCCAGCCTGGACAGTAAAAGCAGATAGAAGTTGCAACTACGGCTGCAGCTAAAGAACATTTGTCTTAACTCTTTAGTGCAGGGGTGGGGAACCTCCGGCGCCCGGGCCGTATACGGCCCGCGAGACAATTTGATACGGCCCTCGAGGTAACACACGCAAAAAAGAAAAAAAGAAAAAAAATCTAGACCGCAAAATAATTAAACAAGCGAGTACCTGTTTTTCCTGGCCAAGGTCAGGGTCCTTGAACACAACACGAGCCTAACGTGTCATCACGTGGTATATGTCTCGTCCGACAGGGGTTTAGAGCAGAGCTGCCGGAGAGCAGAGCACCAGAACGCCGCTCCGGGCCGGGACTTCACAAATGTCAGTAGCCATAAGGAGTCGTACACATGCCGCAGTTTTTGCGTGTCTGTGTCTTTAGTTGTAAGCTCAGTGGCGATCTGTTAATCTGTCATACTGATCATACAGTCAATAACTTTGTTGTTATTAGCATCTGGTTAGCTAGCTATGCTAACGAATATAAGAAGCTTTTTCTACAACCAGTGAGGTAAAGGCACATCTTTATATGATTATTATAGTTATACAAACACAAGATAATAAAGTAAACGGGTATAAAATACTATATGACAGTAAAAAAAAAGTTGTCATTAATAAACAAGAATACAGTTTGAAAGGGGAGTGATTTGTAAAATATCCATAAAGAAAAAGAAAATCTGCTTCCAGTTCTGTTTCATATGGGTGTTGAGAGATGTATCCATAGATCTCCTCATGTTGCTCTCAAAGTGCACCAGATTGATGCTTTTAAGTTCAATATTTAAAAAAAAGGCATGTCCCCCGGACCCCCCTAGAAGAGGTTAGGTGTCCCCCCCCCCCCCCCCACACACTTAAATCATGTTCACATGGATAGGAAACTAAATTGCACACATCTTGTGTCCATATCTTTCTGTTTTGGTGGTCATGCCACAACTGTGCACGTGCGTGCATGCGCGAGTCATGGTAAGATATCTGGATTTAGAGGTTGCTTTTTCTTTGCACAGCATGAAAGAAAGGCCAGATGAATGGGTTGTGATTTTAGTATTTTTAAGCAGACGTCAATAATTTGTACGGCCCTCGGAGGATGTTGAACAAATTGAAATGGCCCTTGAGAGGAAAAAGGTTCCCCACCCCTGCTTTAGTGCATACAATACCAAAAGCATAATGGGAAGTACATGTCAAAAGGTCCCAGAGCTCAAGGTGACATATTCGCTATCCAACAGTTCAAAACAGAAAAAGGCAAGCAATTATATTGTACCATTTTTCAATTATGGAAGGCTGACACCAGGGCTTTGTTTGATTATCATAGGAAACATATATTAATATATTACCAAAGAAGCAACTAATAAACAAATAAATAATCTCTCTTATAAATGACAAGCCAACATTGCAGAACCCATAGGAAAGCAACAGATGAGGGATAGTACAGTGGGCTCCATGCTGATACAAATGTCTTTCAAATAGACAAAACACAAACATAAATAAAGTGTTCACCACCATGGCACAGATACATTACAAGAACATGTACAGAATACAATTCTGCAAATAAATGTAATTCAGGCAAATAGAAAAACGATTTCACGTTAATCTAAACTCCTCATCTCAAACATGGGTTAACAATGTTTATTTAGGTTTTAACAATCTAATTCCAATATATCTGACTGTACAGATTATTAGCCACTCATGACTTGTGTGCAACATTGAAAATGTATGTGTCTGTCTATGACTTGATGCACGTCTGTTAACCCTGCATCTATGTAAATAAATGGGTGAACATGCACGATATTTATCAGGGCTGTCAGATATTGGCAGATTATTGGAAATGTAGTGTATATCATTCTTCATTATTCTCATAAGGAAAGTATAGCCAATACGTTGACCGTTATAACAAAGCCGGATTGCTTTCATTGAAAGGACAAGTTCAGCATCTACAACACAATTGTGATTTTCCATGCAAGTGTTTTGATGTATTTTCTTCCAAAAACGAAATGAACATTTAAACTCAGAACCACTACATTAAAGCCTCTCCTATTCTATTCTATTCATCCCAAGTGAATGTGTTTAGAGTTTTACTAAATGCAACGTGTGTAGTCAATGTGACATTCCACTTGTGTTTCGATTACTTGAAATGCATGCTCTAACGTGTGTCGAGCTATTTCAGAGACCATAGATCTCTTTTCTATGGTTCGTAGGTTGTGGTCTTTCGTTACCACAGCGGCCTACTATCATGTTAGAAAAAAGACTTTGCAGTTTCCATTTGATTTGAGCTTTTCTGTATATTTGACGTTGTGTACTCAAAATACACTGCGTCTTTAGATATCTTTCTACTGTTTATGTATATATTTACTTTTTATTTTATTATATTTTTAAACATGCTGCTGTTACAAAACCATTTCCAAATTTGGGATGAATAAAGTATGCTGTATATAATCGTATCTATTCGAATCTTATGTAATTGGACGTACTGTATATGTACATAGGAAAGAAGACAGAATTTAATTTTGATATTTAGAAACATAGCTAAAACATAAATAAAATAAAAAGTATGTGTAATATATTCTCATGCATTAATCTGCATGTTCTAGTGAGTGTAGATTTGGGTGTGTGTGAGGGCACATCTGGGATGTGTTGTTAAACCCATTGACGTGTGACACGCCTCTCGTGTCCCGCAGGTATCCTGGACCAGTCTGCTGTGTGGGTGGAAGAGATGAACTACTACGACATGAGGACCGACCGCAACAAAGGCATCTCCCCCCTCTCCCTGAGACCCAGCAATCCACTGGGCATCGACATAGACAAGTACGGACACACACGAACGCACGCACACAAAAATGCCTCGGCACAATCACACCGCCATAAACACACGCGCTCTAGTCATCGAGACATGGTTTACATCCCTAAACAGAAACAAACTCTCCACATATGCGGCCGTTTGAAATATTATGCCAACACAGCAAAGATTGAACCGCTGCTCACAGGGAGTGGAAACAGAATAATTGTGTATAAAGCAGAGAAGACGGCGGACGATAGAAAGGGATTTGGAAAGAACTAAGGCAGCGACCCGCACACATGTTTGTATGCGGCCGGGCAGCGCGGGGCGGCCTCCCACGGGCCTGGCAGGGAGAGAACAAGTTGTAATATATAGTTTGTGTAGTCAGGTTCTGGCATTTCTGGGTTAGTGTTTGTTTGGCTAAGGGGCCGGGGGCAAGTGACCGCTCGTGGCCAGAGACGAGACCCCCATAAACAGGCCGGACCACTCACTCGTCTCTCTGGGTTGCAACCAGGATAAAACGTCATCGTAATTCTTTCTGACAGTAATGTGTTGATCTGATACGTATGAACTTTAGGATTAAATACTACTTAAAACATCTAATCGTAGAAGCTGTTTATAAGTAGAAGAGCATCACTCGTATGCGCATCTTTGCACGGTGATGTCCACTGCTGAGCTGTAGATGTTTTGCACCAGCTGTTTTGTAGCGTCATACTTGGCCTAAATATAACGTCTGTCCGTAGAGTTTAGTTGTTACTAAATATTTCCACATGCTTAACTATGAAACGATGGCAATAATGACACACAATAAGGTCTGATAGGTAGCGTAAGTGGAGTCATCTCTCCCTCTGACCTCTGATGTGACTCTTATTCCCAAGAATTGCGATAAAACCTAGTTTTATTTTTTAATCTTTCATTTAGGCTTGGGAAATATATAGGAGATACACTGTTATTGCACCCACATTACACCCATACTAGACCCTTATTATACCCATGTAACACCATTACTACACCCATATTAAACCTTAATTACACTTTTATTGCATCCAAATAACACTATTATGACACCCACATAACACATTAATTCACCCTATTTCATTCTTGTTACACCATCATTACACCCGCATTACACCCATATCATACCCGTGTTACACTGTTATTTCACCCATACTACACTGTTGTTAGACCAATATTACACCCATGTCACATCAATGTTTTACCCATATTACACTGTAATTTTACACATGGACACAGCCTGTCAAATGACTGCATCCCTCAGGATACAGAAACCATTAAAGTAACAGTTTTTGCAGCTGATGACAATAATTCTGTCAACTTCGTCAGGCAAGCTAAACACATATAAGAGCCTTCAAGTGGCATTGAATAATATAAGGAATCTGAAGAGCATCCTCAGCTAGCCTCATTTACATATCCATGTCAACATCAGTCTGTCAGGGCTATCTAGTGAGCTTGACTAGACCAGTAGCAATTTGTGTATTGACCTGTATTCCCCTCAAAAAACACTAATCATTTAGAATTCTTCTTAAACATGAATTTCATCCCATTCAAAAGCAATGCATTGTTTAAATCACACAAAAAGCTATTTGATACAGATACTTTATGCAACTTTTGCCAGTTTGCCATCTTAACCACATTACGTATTTATTTTTGTTTCACAGATCTAATAACTTTTTACTGTACTAGCCGTAAGTCAGTTTGTTTGTGTGTATGTGCAGAGTGGGTGGTGATGGGGGGGGCGTGGAGGGGTTGGTTTGTGTAGGCTACGGGTCATTAGCAGAGATCAAACTTCCCTAATGAGGGCTCGGTCCTCCAGGGGCGCCCAGGCGTCACACACTGCACTTCCCACGCCAGGCTCTACCAGCCTGGGGCCTTTTTGGCTGCACACTGCCCCCTGCTGGAGAACACCCACCCCAACATCACACAAAAAAAGAATCACACAAGTTACACAATACATTTTTTCAAGCCCTGCTCAATCGCTATTTGTTGTCTTGTATTAATACTTTTATTTTTCTCTGTATGAGTGTCATTGCAGTTCATGATTTCAACCTACTTTTATACTTTGCAGCACTTTATATGTTTGCCTTTCTTCTGTGTTCACCTTTGTTCATCTGTCTTCTTTTAGAGGCAAGATCCCACAGAAAGACATCGAGCTGACATTTCCAGGAATGAGTGGAGACTTCACCAGTGAGAACTTCTCTGCCACCTGGTACCTCATAGAGAACCACACAGGCTCCAGGTAAGTCCTCATGTCATCAACCCCCCTGCAACGAAGTTAGTCAATGCGTAAAATAATTAAAAAAATAATATCAACATAGTGCTAAGTTGTTGGATGTTACAGGGACTGTCTGTGATAAATGCAGATCACACTGTTCTTATTGCATAAGAGAAAAAAATGGTCAAATTACATATCTAAAAATTGCAATATCTCGCCTTGCTCACAGTCATGCTATATCATGAATCCTCACCCCTGTGTCATGATATGTATTGTATTGCAAAGTTCTTGCCAATACACAGTCCCACAAAAAAGAGCTCTCGTAAATAATGGGTTTTGTATCACACAATAACCACCAGAGATTGGCTTGCAACATATAGTGTCCTCAAATGTAATAGTGACTAGGCAGAACAGAGATTTAGGACAAATTCCCTGTGGCTTGGCTCAGTGCATTAATGCTGTATAGTGACGGTATATCCTATATGTTTCTTTTAGAAGCACATCTTGCTGGCACATGACATCAGTGGCACGTAAATGAATGTGTTGAAGAGACATTCCCTTGTATAACAAGTTGAAAAGAGGTTTATAGATCCTAGAAGAACTCCAATAAGTCCATTAATCAATACGTTGTTCAACAGGATTTTAATTGTCAATCATTTTAATAATTTATCGGTGAAAGCTTCTCTATTTTCTTTATTCTGCATTAGTAAACTGCATATATTTGTCTTTAGACCATTGGCCAGAAATGCCAAATGTTAAAATGTAAAGTATACAAAATGCATGGAGGGCACAAAGCTTTCACGCCCTAGATTACGGCTGAATCTTCACATGGTCTTTTGGCCCCTCACAGAGCAATTAGGTATGTCAACGACAAGGCAGCGTGCTGACCTGGACCCCCAGCCCAGTTGACTGTCATGTCAGGGCAGAGGAGAGTTATTTTGGACTCTCCTGGTTTCCTCTCCCCCTGCTTAGCCTTCCAGTAACCCAGACCCCAGAATCCAGCATGACCAGGGGCCTCTGTTTGGAGCTCGCAGGTTGACTGTTTCTTCCTGCGGAGGAAACCCCTCTCGGGACACTTACACACGTACTCACATTGGCCAAACAATGTGTGTGTGATTGTGTTTCTACGATAAAAACGTGTGTGCAAAATGCCATCATTGTAATGTAGTGCTGAAGGCATTAGCTGTCGTTTTTAAATATATCAACATTATTTGAATAATGCTTTATTGTTATCCAGTCAAATTGTGGATTTGTGAGTTCTGGCTTCTTTTTTTAAATATGATGATTTTATGCTTTTCTCAGTTTAATATTGTAAATTGGAGCAGTTTGTAGACGTGATCTTGGACTCCTGTCATGGGCATTTTTTAAGTTTATGAGACATTTTATAGACTAAACAGTTGCTCATTTAACTAGAATAATGACGAAATGATTGACAACAATCACAGCTTGTTGGCATTAATATAATGGCATCATCATTTTTGTTTTCTCAGTTTTGAGCAGCTGAAGCTCGCGGCCAACAATCTGAAAAAGCAGGCGACCAAGAAGAACGAGGGGAGTCTGGTGTATGTGAAAGGAGGCCTCAGTACGTTCTTTGAGGCCCAGGACGCTCTGGCAGGTGAGAGGGATTAACACATTTCTGTGTGCTGTGGAATCGTACCAAATGGCCTGCACAAACTTTTCAAATCATCACTCTTCATCTCTGCTCATAAACAAGCTTTTGATTTCTTGGAAAGCGGCGCGTGTGCGTGTCCTGGGACTTTTCCCCCTCCACACGCGGTTCAGCAGCGGTTGATTAAAGAGGATAATTTGGCTGCCGTGGGAAAACCCTCCACTTTGTACTATAGTTACACAAGCCAACCTCAACATGGCTAACTCGCGTTACTCAAAATAAGATCAGCTCTCACCTGTCGCACACAATCTCACACACAAACACACATGAGGCCAAAATGATGTCAAGGTAGCCGAGACTGACTGCTGTCGCTCTGCCAGGTACTTCAAATCAATTGTTCGCTTCATCATTCATACTTTTGTCTGTTTACTCTCTCCTCCCGCCATAGCCGCTCAGTTACTTCCCCTTACTATTTATACGTACACTTTTCTGCCTCCATCATTATTATTATTGCTTTCTGTATGTTTGTGCCCCGGTTGGGAGAGAGGCAATGTTTTCATTGTTAGTGGCTGAATCTAAATAAACGGAGCAGCCCAACACAATGCAGGCCAGAGTATTAGGACTGATAGTGGCGATAACAGAGCCAATATGACCAATGGGAACAATGCGCAGTCATTCTCACGTTCAGACTGAGTGTGCCTACTGTGTGCCCACTGCCCCTAATGGGAAATGTACAGTCTCTACAGGATGAGGAAGCAATACAGTATGGATGGACTTAAGCGACCTGTGAACCAAGAGTGCATGATGATGCTTCATGCACCCTGTTCACGTTTATATAAAATGGGTAAAATATGCCCCACTTAAAGTGGACCTATCATGCTATATTTGAAAAATATATTGTAGGGTACCTATAGGATACCTATATAAAACATGTCTGTGAAGTTTTTTTTTCAAAATACCAAACAGATCATGCATTTTAGCCATGCCTCATTTCGCTCTATTTGCTCTTTTCCAGCCCTGTTTTTACAAGTGCTGATTCTGTGACATAGCTTTAATGCAAATGAGCTGCAGCTGACCACGACCCCCTGCAGGAGAGAGGAGCGTGCTTTGAGATCAGCTGCTGGGCTCTCAGAAGAGGGGGAGGAAAAGAGAGGCTCCATCCTCCGTGTATTATTCTTATATTATTATATAGAGTCATTATTCATTTGTTTTAAAGCTCAATAAATAACAAAGAAGACCTTTGACCGGAACTTTTCTAATTTTGTCCGGAAGATTTAAAGTTTAACGGACATGTTGACCAGTGAAAAAAATCGAACTGAAACTCTGCCGCACGGTCCCCTCGTCCCTTGGAAGAGGTGGAGAGGTGGGTGTTTGTCATCTGCTGGTGGCAAACCGGAGAGAATTACAGCAGCAGGAGCAAACGCTTGCCTCGGGGAGGGAGAAAGATTTGGAGAGTATGGAGTCAGATTTGGGTCAATATTCTAGCGCGTAAAACAAGCTACTCACGAGCGGAAAATGTGCTTTTACATGCGCATAAAATGACCCTCGCGCGCAGATTAAACCCCCACGAGCGGCGAGAGACAGCCCTCTTGCTCGCCCGCGGGAGTATCAGCCTCGCGGAGTCTGTCTACTCGCGCGTGAAAAGTTTCTGGCACTTTGGGGCGGAGCCACTGGACTTTGATTGACAGCTGCCAGGAAACCCGGAGTTGCCAGGTTTGATAAATGCCTGAACTACCAAGAGCCGAGGAGTGACGGCAGCAAAATCAGTTGGACGAGATTGAATGGTAAAGTTGTCCATAAAAAACTATTATATTCGTAAAGTGTACAGCTAATATATATATATATATATATATATATATATATATATATATATATATATAAATTAATTTTATATAAAACAATATATTTTTGAGTGGGCTGTATCTGTCGAAAATTGCATATATATATATATATATATATATATATATATATATTAATTAATTTTATATAAAACAATATATTTTTGAGTGGGGGTTTAATCTGTGCGCGAGGGTCATTTAATGCGCGTGTAAAAGCACATTTTCCGCTCGTGAGTAGCTTGTTTTACGCGCTAGAATATTGACCCAAATCTGACTCCATACAGAGCGTCCACAGCGGAGAATAAACAGAAGGGCAACCATGCGTGGGAAGTCTTCTTCGCTGCTTTTGTGGCAGACTACAGCGCCACTTACAGGCCTGGCATATGTACTACAGCGTCTCCAGCGCTTGTGGCCGTGGCCCAACCCCCCATTCCCCTGATAGGTGGAGAGTTGCCCATATAGGCGGAGCACCCCTTTTCTGACGTCAGAAAAATTCAAATCTGATCTGTATCAGTCTGTATCAGCTCCGTTGCAGCCCCGTTTTTAGAGATTTGGGTATGGAGGAAAAGAGAGAGGGTTGTGTTTTCTGACACTTGGTGAGTTCCCTGACACACCGGGGACACATATTCATGTATAAAAGATGTACAAAAGTGCATTTTGCACGATAGGTCACCTATTTTTTTAATTCGGAACACTTTGAGCTAAACAAGGTGGGAAGACAACTAGTGTTAATTTCGTCAACGAAAACTATGACGAAAAATGTTCGTCAACGACCTTTTTTACAAGACTAAGACGAGACGATGACGAGCTAAAAATAGATTCTTGATAATAAAAACTATGATGAAATGTATATTTAGTTTTCGTTGATGGGACGAGACGGGACAAGACGGGACTAAGGTGTTAATGGTGGACTATTGGACATTCAAAATGCAGCATATTTTCCCCCAAGTGTCCGTCTTGTCTGTCAAAATGCATCTTACGTTTCTAACTTGCAATATCATTATTTCTGCTCTTTTCACTCCGGAAGAGCGATCTCCCTGTGTCTCTCTGTGTGGGGGGGGGTGGTCTAACAGACGCTGGAGCGGCACACAGAGATCTGCTGTGGATGCTCAGAGAGTATAGAGACACTCTACAAGGCTCGATGTGGACAAAGCTTGTTTGCCATTAGTGTTTTCCCATAAGCGTGTTGACACGAGCAGTCTGACATACAGTTGCTCTGTTTCCTCAATTAGAGTAACGTTATCACATCAGGTGCGCAGAGGTGGGAGAAGTACAGATCTTGTAGTTAAGTAAAAAAGTACCAGATTGTAGGAATACTCTGTTACAGTAAAAGTACTGCATTCAAAATATTACTCAAGTAAAAGTAGAAAAGTATTAGCATCAAAATATAGTGAAAGTAGCGACAGTAAAAGTAGTCGTTGTGCAGATTGGTCCATTTCAGAATAATATATATGATGTGTTTTATAATGATTGATCATGAAAGTATTCTCAAAGCTGGTAAAGGTGCAGCTAGTTTAAATGACTTTGTATACTGCAGGAGCTTGTGAATTTACTCCAGGTGGAACTAAAGTCTGATTTAACCCTTGGTTATATTTCACATCATTAATCCACATCTGTGAAGTAACTAAAGGTATTCTATACATGTAGTGGAGTAGGAGTACTAAGTAGCAAAACATTGAAATACTCCCGTAAAGTACAAGTACCTCAACATTTTACTCAAGTACAGTACAATATAATAACATCATTATATATTTTTTATTTATTTCACATTTAAATAAAGCAATGTTAATTCGGTTTACAATTTGTTAAGTTTTTCCCTTTAAAAAATAACAAAAAGTACCTATAAGAATACCGTTAAAGTACCGGATCTATAAGAGTAGTACAGTAGTACCGTTAAAAACCTTAACGATACCCATCCCTAGATATTACACAAGTAAAGTGTTAAGAGAGTGAAATGTTGCTTTACGAATTTCAACACTTGATATGCTTTTCGCTTAGTTTTTTCCTTTCATGAGTAAATCATCTTTGTGGCAACTCAACATAATCACGGGGGGCATTAAAGGCTCTGTCTAACTACACCAGATACACTAAATGAATGCTAACCAACTTGCTAGCTCATCAACAGTAACGCTACAAACAACACAAAATAGACCTTAACATAAATGAACAGACGCTATGTAAGAAGCACGGACTCACTTTATCCACGCCTATCAAACAACTCCCACTTTTCAAAAGTAGTTTCCACTAAAAACATTCTTATATCCAGACCAGCAGCTTGACTTAAAGTTAATGTTTAAACTTCCTGACGGCTGCTTTCTCACCGTGACTCATTACAGCGCTGCAACATCCTTTCTCGGCCAACATTTGGCTCTCAGTCAGAAAAAAAGAAGTGGTGGCCCCAAATGGATAGCTCAAGTGGAGATATTCTGTATACTGTGCATGGTCAGCCAAACCGACATACCAGCCGACACGCTGCTCGAAGCCAGCCAGCGCACTGCCAGGCCTGGTTAGCACAGCTGCTGTTGGAGCAACTGTGAATCCTTTCTTTGTCTCTCAGCGTCCCTTGGCAGGTCTCTGTTGTTATTAGTTATTCCAAATGAACCTCACCGGAGTTGTGAACGTTTTTTAAGAAATTAGCTTTGAAATGTACAGGGTGCTTGTGTGTTCTCTTTGTGTGTTAACATTAGCTGCAGTGCTTCCAGCGCCCTCAATCACCATCAAGAGATGTCGGTCTCCTCTCCTGTTTATTTTCACTCCCGCTTGCATGTGAGATTTTTATTGATGACCTTAATAGAAGTCTGGAGTTACTTTTTAATGCAAGTGCGCTGCTGCTGGGAAGGTGGAAACAAGGCAGAGAAGCCAAATCGGGGTAAAGAAATTAGGCATTTAGAAAATATTTAGAGCAAACAGCAGGACTCCGACTTCAGTAACCGTGGGGTTTCCCTACCCCCCTCTATTTCATGTCCCCACTAATTGCTTCTTAATTGCTCTTAAGTACAGCTAACCAAAACCAACAGAAATAGCACAAAAAAATCCCATGTGTCTTTCTAATGAACTATGAACTGCAGAACTTTTCATATAACAACCACAAATGTTGTTAATGACAGAGCGATCTGTTAGCACGTGCAGAAACAAGACTGGGAGTTCAGGCCAGCTCTTAATGCTTGGGTTGTATTATAAAAGCTTCCAAAGGGCCCATTCAAATTGCATTGTAAAGTTGCATGGCCTCAAAAGCTCAGCATCGATATGGAACTAACAGTGCATGCATTTTGTTATTAAGGCAAAGGACCTCATGCCAATCAGCAGACTTATAAGGCAGATCAGTTATCAAGCTATCTGCCTAAATACAGTTTCTTTGTCAATCTCAACATTTTAACAATTCAGTCCTTCTGCTCTAATTATTTGTTTAAAAAAATGGAAAGGTCGTATACACATTCATAACTTGGATAAAAGACTCAAGTTCTGTATAATCATAGTTGAGGTAGTTTGATGGGTAGAACCATGATTACAAGTTCATTATATTCTTATTTCATTATAGCTTTTATGTAAAGTTCAAGATGCACCGTTTGGCCTGTAAAATATACTGTGTTTAAAACTGAGAAAAGCAGGAAATTCTGAATTAGTCATTTTACCTGTCAGGTGTTACTATTTACTGCGGGTAGAAAGTTATGTTGTCGTTATTTAGTCAAATAATGTTTCAAGCAACTATATGTGGAATTCCTGAAATGATTATATCCAGTTGTTCTTGCTTGTTTTGAGTCCACACAGTGTTTTGTAGTGGCCAGATTTTTTCCCCATTGGCTGATATTCTGTCAAATCAAATATTGAAGTTGTTTGCATGAGGGATATTTTTCTGTAAACCCTCCATGTGAACCACCACAGGCTGTTGAAACAGACGTGCATGGAGCCTCAGTGACACACGGAGCCATGCTGTAGACAGAGCTGCTGGCTGATTGACTGACGGACAGTCTGTCAGGGAGTCCAGGGTTGCTTCTACTAAAAATGTTGAAATTTGAGGTTTTTCATTGTTGTGCGAACAGGAAGTCTCCCAGTGATGCAGGAAACGGAACGGCTACCGTGTTCCAAAAATGCCATATTCCCAGGGCCAATTCCCTGAGCCCCCCGGCCCCGGCAGGAGTCAAAACATCTCCAGCTTTAGAATCCAGGGACACTGTATTTTTATTCGTTTTTTTTCGTCTTCCCTCAAACGGTTCCAGGAAGTGAAAGCGGGCGCTGCAGCTCTTCCTCAGGTCCGGGCTGTGTGTGTTATCCGGACTCTGACCTGATGTTTAGGTTAGCCGTGACGTCATGGGCCCTCCAGTGTGTGACAGATGCAGAGGACACACAGCTGGCAGCAGGGCAGGGGGGGTATTGCGGAGACGTGAAGCAGACCTGCAGTGTGTGTGTGTGTATTCCTGTGTGTTCAGCCCTATCAATCCTGCGCTCTCCCATACACACTCCCACGTCTACGTGCCTTTATCCGAACCTGCCGCGTTTTGTACCGGTCGCCGAGCAGCGAGAGGTCCACGAAAAGGCCAGCGCCGTCCGTACTGATTAGCCAATGGCATGTTTGAACAGCGTGTTTTAGGAATACCTCAGTCCCTGCCTTGAGGCTTCTGTCTGTCAGACTGGGCCCACATATTTATTTACAGAACTCTCCCCCCCTTTACTTTGCCTCCCGCTCCTTCTGCTGTGTCCAAGCTCTTCTAGCATTTATAGAACTGAGAGAAGAAGGAAGGTAGCGACGGGAAAAAAAAGAGAAATGTAAGGATTTCTTCTTTTTTTCTCCCATGTTTCTGTCTCTTAACTTCATTCTTGAGATGTCTACCCGGTGCATATTTGATTCGCTCCCCAAGTATGTAGGAGAAGGTCTCATAAGCCGTCTCCACCTCCCTTCCACTCTGTCAATAAACCCACACTGCAGCTCTCAGCGCCCGGCTGCCCAATACTGCTCACCATTTATTTATTCACTGGGGTAGCCACACCACTGCCTCTTTTCTTTGCTCTCGCTCTGTTTTCTCCCCTCATTCCCTCGTTTCAAAGTCCCTCTCCCGCGTCAAGCTCTTCATGCTAAGTGATGGATACAAGCCATCAGAGATTTTCTTTCCCCCTCAAGTCATTTTTGGCATCCAGACCTCCTGCTCTGCTCTCCCAAATGTTATTTTTCAGAGAGTTGAAACATTTTAGATTCTCATTACCTCCAGGTCAAAGGGCTCCAAATATCCCAAGACCACAAAACCGTGCTGTTAATGGCTCTGCTGAGGTGAATTGATCCAGTACAGTTACCGCTGGGAAAGGGTCACGTCGTTTACTGCGTGGGAACAGGCCAAAGGAGGGGGGGAGGGGGGGGGGGGGTTAGGTTCAATAGCAGCATCTATAGGCGGAGAACCGGCGAGGTTATCTCCCATCTATCACTGGGGTAGGGCCTGTTTATTGTTTTACCTTCGGTTCCTGAAATTGAAAATGTTCCTGTCTCAGGAGACTGGATGTGAGTTGCTTTATAGCGTAGAGAACCATTTCCACTTTTTCTTACATTACTTCCTACATCAACATAATGCTATTCTTTCTCAAGTTTTATTTCCGTGGCTTTAACTGTATATTGTCCATTACAGTCTTTTACAATACAAAATCAAACTGACGTTTGTGTTGCAGCGATCCACCAGAGGCTGGAGTCTGATGGCACCGAGAGAGTGGAGGGATCCATGACCCAACGACTAGAAAACATCCTGAACAGTAAGCATCTTTGATTTAGAGTCAAGCACCACGAGAAATTGTAAATGTACAGTTTCAGGTTTTGATAAGCACGTAAAATCCCCATCTGATGTGTCAATAAATGCAGATAGGCAATGACAATGAAATGTCTAATGTATCAAAAGCTGGTTTGATGAAATCCAATTTGAGTTCAGAGGAAATGATCAATTCTGTCATATTTTAAGTTGTTTAATTGTTTTCCATTCAGATCGAGTTGTATGAAAAATGTAGTATTTAAATGATAAGGAACCCATTATTTATGTCAGTTAAAAAATAACATAATGTATTAGCAAAGCAAGTTATGTTGACAATCACTTATTGTACACTCTTTATCATTTATTTATAACTTCTAAATCATTGCACCCTTTTTGCTATTTTTTTTACTTTCAACTAGTTTTTGTTAATGTTAACCAAACATGTTATTTTATTCGCAAGATAGAATTCAGAGAGGGACATTTTACAGGTAATTAATTATGATATATTAGGACGACTATTTTAAGAATACAAAACTTTTACATTTGATCAAATAATCTCAACTCAATGCTTACTGGCTTGTTCAGAGCAGCTTAAGTGTATCCTTCAACCGTTCTCAAACTCGCCCCCCTTTCATCATGTCACATCATCATGGGGGGAGGTTTTAATCCTGTTCTCTGTTCAAAAATGTGTTTCAGAAGTGAATGGCAGTGGTCTTTTGCCATTTGCTGACCATTGAGAATGTTAGTAGGGGGGCATGGAACTTGAGTTCTGGTTATTTTTTATAAAGTTCAACCCACTAGTGCCAACAGTGTTTGCCCTAGCAGCCTAACATTTGAAATGAAGGTTTGTGCTTGTGTTCATGCAAATTGTCTGTGACATCATTGCATTCATAAGCAATTGTTTGCAGTTAAGCTTATCAATTATGTAATCCTTTTTGCAAATGAGAAAGCCTTTAGGGTTACATCTTTTGACAATGTTACAGTAAGTCCTTGGCATGATTTTGACATGTTAAATAAAACTCAATGAGCAAAGCGATTATGAGAAGAGACAGTCTTTGTGCTGCAAAGCTTATCACACCATGATTTGCCATCCATGAATTACTCTGTCTATGCTTTTGTAGAGCTTCCCATTTATTACAAGCAGATCCCTCAGCAGATCATATGTTCCCCCCCTCTCATCTCATACATGATAATGTGACTCCCCTAATGGAGGGTCAATAAGCAGGTCCTTTTCCCGGAGTCTAGTGTAAATAAGCCTTGAGGCCGGACGCAGCTTTCATCCCCAGACTTGTAGGGCCCAGCCCACCGGTCACCCCTAAAAACTCAGCGCCAATCACAAAATAGAATGTTAGTTTGATGACAACTACGATTGGCAAGTGAAAAAAATTGAAAAATTCCTCCGTTGGATCCCATGCTGTTATTCCTTCAGGGGTTTTGCTATGGGGGGGGGGGGGTTTGTTATGATTAGAAGAAGTATTTTCTTTTTCTATCTGACGACACATCCAAGGCCACCCACGAAGCCGGTTAGTCGCCCAAAGGTCCCAATAAACTGTCCGACTAGCAGATAGCTGTCTCTTCCTCTTTAGCAGCTCAGCCCATACCGTGTCAGACACAAAGAGCAGGAAGAAAACCAGAGACTGACATTAAAAGGGAAATGTGGTATCAGCATTTATTTATTTAGTATCCCGGTTTCTCATTTGCTCCTGCTCCTCTGGCTCCCTCTCATTCTTTCGCTCTTTCTGTGTTTCCTCGTAGGAGCGAGCGATACTGCAGATACTCTTTTCCAGGAGGTCTTGGGGCGGAAAGACAAAGCTGACTCCACACGCAATGCTCTCAACGTCCTGCAGCGTTTCAAGTTTCTCTTCAACCTGCCACTCAACATTGAACGCAATATTCAAAAGGTACTATCCACATAGTTAGGATGGGGGAAAATATGGTTCATGTAAGAAGTAGGATTCACAATTTCCAAAAACGCTTTTTTCTTAAATGTTTTTTCCTTAAAAGATTCTAATGATTGCTGCTGACTGACAGTAAACCTACACACCAGTATTTTGTGTAATTCATTGACAAATCACACAAAATACCAGCGTACAATTTATTTTTGAAATTGCAGAGTTTCTGAGATATAAAAAGGCAGCTTGCCTAAGCCTACTAATTGTATAAATAGTCAGGCAGCATTTGTATTTATTGTACTAGTTATACTTGAAGTCACTAATAATTAAAAAAATATTTAGGTTATAGGTTTTATTATGCAAGTTTAGCACAAAAAAATGCTTATTGTTCTCATAAGTTTGCCTTTGAGTGTTTACATTATTACAATAATTTGGTATACCTTTTTCAAATGTATCAAAAGCTTCATAACCCTATTCACCCTTTAGTCCACTTTGTGCCTTCATGTCCCACACAGTTTGTGTCAGCACACAGCAGACTAGAGTAGATCCTAAAAAAAGGCAACCCTCTGTACTGGGTTGATTTTCTCTAGAATTGTGACCCACAATAAACCAATTTGAGTCATTACAATTAAAAAAATGCATACCCCTAATTCACATACTACACGTATGTACAAATGAATACCAGCTTGTGTATGAAGAAGATATATATAGCTTCCCTTTCCTCACCTCTTCAGTTGTGTCATTCAAGCTGTGTGTAGTAAGATATCAGATATGATCTTTGGTCAAGAAGGGAAAGCCTTCAGCTCTCTGGGTGGTGGAGGAGGAGGTGATAATCTGTTCTGCAGTCTCAGATCCCCCCCCCCCTACTATAGCATACTATAGCCTTTAGAGCTGGTTATCTGTGAGGCTATTATTATTTTCTTCTTGGTGTTTATGAAACTAATCTTGAGTTAATTTAGCAATCATAACAAACATATAAGTCTTTTAATATATTCCTTTTTTATTATTAAACCAGAGCAATCATCATAAAACCTAATATCTCACATGAAAAGCCTCCCAAGCTTTTATACGTCCATCTGCAAGTGTAACTTCACCTCACTTCACCTTAAGTCCTTTTTCAGTAAACTGGTGGTCTTACAGCAGATGCATAAATACAATCTAAACATAATCCCAAAAAACCAGGGCCTAGATAAGACACAACAAATATGTAAATAATAAAGCGTCAGTAATATTTGTATATTTTGCTTGTAGCACATATATTGATACAATTAGTAGTGATTACTTCAAAGTGTTTCATACAGTTTTCCCTTTACACGATTGCATCCATCCAGTATGCATATTTGTTTGAGGTGCAGTTGGAAGGCTGTCATCCAGAGGGTAGAGCAAGAGAGGCTTAAATCAAATGTTGTTTCACGATGAATACGTTGAAATGAAAAAGAAAAAAAGCTGCTTGTGCTGTATTTAAATAACTTTTCTCCCTCAGGGTGATTACGACGTGGTGATCAACGACTATGAGAAAGCCAAATCTCTGTTTGGCCCTACTGAAGTCCCTGTTTTCAAAAAAGGTAAACATGTCATTTGAATTTTTGACTCGACAAATGAATCACATAAAGTGAAAAACACAACGGTTTGTTCTGCTGCTCCGCTCTAGTGTACGCTGAGGTGGAGACGAAGATCGGAGCTCTGAGGAGCCTCTTGCTGGAGAAACTGCTGCAGACCCCGTCCACGCTGCACGACCAGAAGAGATACATCAGGTCTCTCTACGTCTTCATAATACAGCAACGGCTTTTAATACCATCCGTCTATATCCCTCACAGTTGTGCTCTTAGTTGCATAATTCATTATATTTATGTGAAACTGGTTTTAAAACACTATCCGGCAGTTTTTAATTTCTTGACACGTGTCACACCATTTCTAAACATCGCGAGCGGTCTTTGGTCTTGAACTATATTCAGTCGGATTTCTTATCCTCCTTCAATACACTCCTTTTGATCTGACATTGTTTACCAGAACTTCGTCCTCCATAAAATGTTTCCCTTTACTCTAAATGTTCACTTTTAGCTTTGTGTTGTCCCGCTCTCTTTCTCTGTTTCTCTTTTGCCCCCTCTATCCTTCTGCCCTCTCATACTTGTGGTATCCCCCGATTTATTATTGTTCAGACCAACCTGTCAGGATCACAGAGACCAGTCCTTCACCACACGGCAACATCTTTCATCCTGCTGCGTCAGGCTCGGCTCTGAACGCCCACTCCTGTTTACTCTTGCCCTTGATGGTGGGCGCTAGTCTGCATGTGTGTGTTTGTGCCTGTGGGTCTTGCTCAATCTTCTGAAAGATGCCCCCTAATGAGAAACAAATGAGTAGCTGGTTCAGAGGATGACAGTAGAGGGAGCCAGGTGACAGTTTAGAGAGTGAGTCATCTGACAGCACACAGGTCACTGAGTGATGCCCACCAAATGAAATCCTGAGGGCCAAGATCTTCCTGGTATTGGTGTTTTGATTGGTGTTTGATGACTGTACCTATCAGCAATTCATGGTTCAGGTGACCATGACTTCTACTATAAGAAATTCATGTATGGAAGACCTGAGGGACAAAGAAAGTGTAAATAAATTAGGACCGGTTTAAAAAAGGTTCGCCAAAAAGTTAAATTGTTTTCTTTATCTGTAAAACAGTTGAAGAAAAATAAAAGTTCAAAAAAAGGGACTCACCAGCAAAAATGTTTACCCAGCATAATTGTTTTAAGTTGCTTTTTTCCCCTCCTTGAAACCAGGTTGGAAGAAAAGTTTCACCAGGTGAAATTAGTATTGCTTTGTCCGGCTTTATTTGTATGTTTTTGTTGTAAGGCTCATGTTGGCCACAAGAGGCTGTATTGCACCATTGACGGATGTTTTAAATAGGACTAAAATCATTCATGTTCTTTCGGGTGAGTTTTAATTCAACTTTAACAGCTGAACATAAGGAAACTTGCTAACACAGTGTTTTGTCTTTCACCTTTTCACAGAAGAAAAAAAAAAGAAGAAGAAATGTATAAACAATGAGCCTGAAAAAACCCATCTTCTTTCACCTTTTCTTAAATCATAAATCCAGGAGAAAACAAATACAAAATTGATCACCTGAACTTTTTTTCTTGCCTCATTTGCCTCTCAGGGGTTCCGTATAAAAAAGGTGTCTTTTTTTCTTCTTCTTTGAATCTAAATGTGTTGTCTGCATGTCTAGGTACCTGTCGGACCTTCACGCTCCAGGCGACCCAGCATGGCAGTGCATCTACGCTCAGCACAAGTGGATCCTGCAGCTGATGCAAAACTGCAGGAATGAGTTCATCAGTGGCCAGAGAGGTGAGCAACTCACACTCAAATGACTGGCCTTTTTTACACATGAAGATTAAAAGCCCCTATATAGCATTTCCAATCAAACGGCTGGTGGATGTCATATGAGTCTGGAGGTAGCAGAGAGAAGAGAAATCCAGCTGCTTCTACATCATACTCTCTGCTTGCATTCCCCCTCTCCGTCACCACCCTCCCTCCCCTCCCTCCTCTTCTCCAGGCTTGCATGTTTATTTTTTCATGAATGTATGAATAAGATGAAAGTGAGGGAGCATTGGCTTTGGGTTTCAGGGCTTGACATGTTACTGCACACGCACACATACAAACCCTTTTTTTCTCGCTCACACACAGCTTCACAGATGGATTGGAACAATTAACCCCAATTAAGCCGTTCCTCTGTTAAATCAGCCAGCAGAAAAATGTGAACGTGAAACCGTCAGGGAAGAACAGCGATTCGCAAACTACGCTTACACCACACACACTCTTACACCCGTACTCACACGCCCAAAGACACCCGGACAAACACATTGTGAGTGGGTGGCTGCTTCACATACTGCAGCTAGAACGTAAACATGTCTAATGCTAAGGGTAACAGTGGTTTCCGGGGCTCAGGCTTGATGGATCGGGGGTTGCTGTGCTCCTAGCCTCTCCACAGCTAAATATCATCTTGATTATCATGTCAGGCATGGCCCCCCCCCCCCGGTCTGTCCACTCATGCATTCCACAGCAGCATGTGGCAGGGAGCGAAGTTGCATGCAAAGCAAATGCAACCAAACTTTTCTAAAAATAGCTTATAGAAATGTCCCTGTAAGGGATTAATAAAGTTCTTCTTCTTCTTGTCCTCCTTCTTCTTCTTCTTATTGCAAAAAGAAGTACATTTAATGTTAGTTTGTTTACCTTAATACACAAGTAAAAGGCATGTAACCTTATATATAATCACTATTCTATTAACATTACAACTCTGACACTGCATAAACAGCAATGACTGCATAGTCCGTATACCTAAAACACATAACATGTCATATGTTATTAGATTCATGGCTGTGTCCTGATGTGCCACATTATGGTAAAGCTCTGTTTATGATCAGACACCTTAAGGGTTTGAAGGGAAAAGGACCTTTTACATTAAAAAACAAAACCTGCAGTAATGAAATTGAGTTGCAGTCATTATTCCTGAGGTCTGAACCTCAACGACCTTAGACTTTCTGCGGTGTTGCCAATGGCGTCACGTTACCTCTGCTGCCGAGAGAGGACACTCATCATTGGTACAACCACACGAGGCCACTTTGAGGAAAATGTAAATGTAGGTCGTTTTAAAGTTACCCTGTGAAGATTTGTTCTCATAAATAAACACAATTCTGTTTACATATTGTGTTACTCATCAAAACATCAGCAACAAAATATATCTGCATCCATGTTAGCAGTCTTCTTCTTCTCTGCTTTTCGCTGGCGTCTTGATTTGTTTCTTGGTTTGATAAAGACGACAATTGTCCATAAGTGGAATAACGCAAAATGTCAGGTCGCTTGCATGCTTGTGCACTAAAGTGACTCTGATCATTTGAGAGAACAGGACACCATGTTCTAAGATGAAAATAAGTGTTTGTCAGACTTCCATCTGTTGAGTTACATTGAGTATGCTCCTCTCTGTTGGCTGACTGAACTGCTCCGATTATTACTGCTGTCGGTAACGGAGTAGTGTAACGCGTTACTTTTATAATTCAGTAATCACACTACAGTTACTAACATTGCCCCGACACGCGTTACTTCGTTACTTTTATAAAATAATCACACTCACTGACAGACTAGAGGGGTTTCCGCCGCAGGTTTATATACATGTAGGCCTATGTAATCTGCGCGATTTGCGAGACCACATCTCCACGTGCAGTGCTGCATAAACAAGCTGCTGGGAGTCCCAGCAGCTTCTACTGAAGCCAGTCCCCAACTCCGGGGACTTCCGGTCGGGGACTTCGGGTGGCAGTATACGCCGTGAAGTGGTTTGCGGCCTGCCAGTAAACCCAAAGCAGAAGAAGAAGAAGTGATGTGTGCGGCTTCATTTGCCTAATCCTCCCTCAGGGACTTATTCCAGTGTGAACGCGATCTCTTTAGTTCCCGGAACTAAAGAGTTCTCATGAACTAAGTACTGGGAACTAAGTACGGCAAAGTACTTGGTGTGAAAGCGCCTAATCGTGCTCTAGGAGGAGATTCAGGTGATAAGGTGTGGGGGGGGCCACACCTTATCACCTGAATCTTGGCCCCTTTGTGACATTATCACAAAGGGGCCAAAATCTGATCCGCTCCTTTTTGCAAATCTTTTTTCCTGAAACTTTCAGAATCTCTTATCACAGAGGGGACACATGTTTATGTAGAAAATACTCAAAGTGGATTTTGCATAATAGGTGACCTTTAACTTCTGTCTGCTGATAACTTAAAAAGTAATTTCTTGTGATGCTTGACTAAGGCTCATTCAAGGGGTCTTGATTTGGGTGAGTATTAGACACATAATAGCAACAAGACAGCACAACTATTGGCCAAAAAGTGTTTAAACAATTGACCAACGCTGTTGCCTTTCTGGTCAGGACTTTTCATCCACACAACGGCAAAACATAAACATGTAAGGTTTCCCATGTTCATTTCTACTCTTGTCATTTTTTCCCGCAGCCAGCTGTCTCCTGTCCCCTCTGCTGTCACACCTCACAGAGAGCCCCTCTATTTCCCCTCACCAGAGATGGGGTCGTTACTAAAAAAAAGTAATATATTACATATTACATATTACTTTAAAAAAAAGTAATATATTACACTACTTCGTTACTCTCTACATAAAGTAACTCGTTACTTTACTCGTTACTTTACTCGCAGGGCCGGCCCGCCCCTCCCTACAGGCAGATCACGCAGACTGCGGCGCACCTACAGTGTGCGCGCCACAGTTTTGCCTCTGCGAGACTCCACTTGCACCCCCAATTACTATTGCATTAAGGAAGACATAACACAAGTCTTTCTTTTTATATGCTCTAAAATAGGCTACCAGCCACACAACAAGCTAACAGTCTGTGAAACGTAAATACACTAATGAATGAAACCAGTTCAAGACGCATTATTCTTATCATTCTTTATGAGCGCATAACGGTAAGGTATCTAATTACTTATGTATTTAGTATTCCATAACTTAGTAACAGAGATGGTCAAACTAAAGTGGTAGAGACATGGCAGAATTCCTACAATGAAGCGGGACATTGAACTGTTCACCCGTGAGAGGGCGATCAACAAAAGAGAGCGAGCGGCCCCGTTGAGGGAGTTTACAGATGACTCATCCATGTTTATGCAGCACTGCACGTGGAGATGTGGTCTCGCAAGTCGCGCAGATTACATAGGCCTACATGTAAACCTGCGGCGGAAAGCCCTCTTGTCTGTCAGTGAGTGTGATTATTTTATAAAAGTAACGAAGTAACGCGTGTCGGGGCAATGTTAGTAACTGTAGTGTGATTACTGAATTATAAAAGTAACGCGTTACACTACCCCGTTACCGACAGCAGTAATATTATTACAGTAACGCATTACTTTGTACTTTGTAACGCGTTACACCCAACTCTGCCCCTCACATACACACACACACACACACACACACACACACACACACACACACACACACACACACACACCTGGTAGCTATTTACCATCCGCTGCTCACCTCTCGCCCAAGTACGAAACCTGTGCCTCTTGAAACATCCCTCCCTCCACCCAGGCAGCCCTTGAAACAGCCACCATCATAAAAAACCACATCCACTACATTCCCCGACCCCACTCTTCCTCCCCCTTACCGGTACCCCACAGCCTCCCCCCCATTCCAGGCGGCCTCCTCTTCCTTCTCATATCACATTCAGCAGCTCAGTGTATTTATAAGCCATCTTTTATGCTATTGTCAGCATCACACGTTGCACGGATTAGTCCTGTGTGATTGATTATTCACTTCTGCAGTAACTGATGTCATTTTTCTTCTCTTCTCCTGCGTTTCCGAGTCCAAAATATGAGGTCATAGGCCGTTCTGGGGGAGTTCTGATTCCATTAATTACCCCATGAATTGCCATAAACGCGAAATAGACCCATCCATCTCTGTTTGGCCAAAGAGCCTGAAGTTCCAGCGTTCCTGTGACGAAACATAACGGCACAAGTTGCTTCCGTATGTCTAAACAGTCCCATCGTGCCCCGGTGCTGCAATCTGACTCTGCCCCCTTCAATTATATCATTCTTATTTCCCCAACTGCGCTCCATCTGCCAATATCAATACAATTAGCAGGACCTTTTACTCGTAGGAAAATGGGTTTGTCAGTGAACAATTACGTACTTCTGACTCTCAAACATGCGGTTGTGATTTTAGACTCAGTACTACCCTAGGGTGAACGTGTTAATGAATACTCTTCAGTTAGGTCATTGCATGTTTATCAGAGCAGGGTGGTGTATTTTTTACTTTAAAGAGGCCCTCTTGTGCTTTTTGAGGTTTCCATTTTCTATAGTGCGTAATATAGGTTTGTGTGCATGTAAACGGTCTGCAGAGGCTAAAATCCAAAAGTTCCCTCCAGGGAGTTTCTCTCCCACACACCTCCCCTGCCTGAAACACCTCCAGTGGACTCCTTTTTCAATTCTGTGACATCACTAGCAGTCTTATATAGCGCTCAAACATATTGTACGTGATATGCTAAGGGACGGGACATCTCTATGCAGTTCACCAATCACAACAGAGCCAGCCAGCTAACCAATTAGAGCAGACTGGGCTCTGGTTTCAGACAGAGGGTGAAAAGAGGTGCTGCAGCACAGGCAGTATGAGAAAAATAAAGACCTTTTTTAACATTTGTGCATGTAAGCATGTCTAAGGAGAGGGAACATATAAATATAAACATAATAATGCCCCTTTAAAGTTGTATTCCCCCCCCCCCCCAAGAGATTCAGGATGTTTATTTATATGTTTAAGTGTCAGATTATTAGTTATTCTGAAAGAGATCAGGAAACTATGATAAAACTTGATTCAAGACAAAAGCTAAAATCAAAAAATGTAAATACTGGGAATTGTGTTGCTTTCTTCTTGAAGGGATTCTGCAGTTTTTATTTTATCCCCATTGTTTACTTTTCCCCAAATATTTCCTCAGCCTTAAATAACTGTAACTATTTACTATAGAACAATTTTGGTTTACCATTGGAAATCGTAACAACCTTTGAAGCCTTGAGTACTTAAAATCTGGTTCAAAATATAACATTTTAAAATAATTCTACTTTTCGGGTAGAAACCAGTGAAAATGTATGTCATATATTCTGTAGCATGGTAAATAACTAATTCAAACAGGAGTCAGTGAGGTGAGTGTGTGTTTAGAAAGAAAGCAGGTCTGTGTGTGTGGTCAAGGTCAGTGACCCCCTTGGGGAACAGGAACTTCTCCGAACCTGCAGAGAAGCATCGGACCTGATGAGGAAGTGAGCCGAGGCGCTTTGTCTTTACATCTTCAACACACATACACAGCGCTTCCCATATTTTAACCTTCAGACTTTTAGAAATAAACAATATAATGAACTATTTGCACGCATAAAGCAGCCCCACACACACCTAAACAATCCCACACACTCACACATACACTTGTGCATTCTGAGGACGCCGGGGGTTCAGCTGACACCTGGATCAACAGCAGCTCTCATCCCTGTAAAGAGAGGAAAACATCACACACTGCAGAGCTCCATGTGTGTCAACGTGGAGTGTGAGATATGAGCAAACTTCGTCTGTTTACAGACATCTGACTCAATCGAGAATTTCCTTATATTTTCTAGGCTGGAAGGCTCAACCACGTTCCCTTCTTTGCTTGGGGGTTTCTCAATACTTGCTTACACACTCCACTCAGCCGGTGACTCACCAGAACACTTTTATGTGTGTGTCAGACACATGTTTTGGAAATGTGGCCATCCGTCTCCCTTGGTTTAGACTAGCTCCATGTGGGCGTATTGCAGCGTTGCACGAACCTGTCTTTTGAGTTTGATTTTCATAGTTTGATCCCCTTGTGTTTCACTTTCATTCATATTTGTCAACTTTCACCCCTTCTTTTGTTAACATATCTCATAGATCCGTTGCAGTAAATGTATCTCCTTCACTGAGACAGGAATGTGAGGTTGTAGAAGGTCTTTCTCATTCGTCTCTGTTGCAAAGCTCCCTGTTGCCATCTAGTGGATCCCTGGTGCTCGCCTTAGGATCAGATGTAACTGAGCCCGGTTTGGCCAAAGTAAACCCGCCTCACCCCTGCGCTCACAAAGCCCACGGCTCCGTTTCCTCACCCTGGAAACAAGGGCGCATTCTCTCAGCTGTGGGTCGCGGCAGAGACGGATCAGAACACAAATAAAGAAAGGCTGAGAGGGGCCAGGGAGGATTGTTTGGTGTGAAAGCCCGCCGAGCTTATTGAGGAATGTGGAATTATGAAAAATGGCTTATTTGATATCTGAAGTATGTGTTTCTTTTCACCCCCATCTCTCACCCCTCTTCTCCTTTCGTTGTCTCTCAGTGGGAGTCGGAGCGATGGATTCTGAGGGGGATACCCGTCCGTCTGCCCTCGGCAGGCTGGGTCACACTTCGTCTCTACAGCGGGGGGGCAGCCTGCGAACACCGCGACCCAGCAGTGAGCACCGCAACCACACACACACACAATCACACACACTTGGTGCTCGAGAGGGGCTTCCCTGTCTACATTTGTTTGTTTGTGTTTGTAACACTTTGTGCTTAGGGGAATCACAGAGTCTACATCCGATAAAGAGTACAAACAGCCGCTGTGCCTGGAAGTGAAATATCTTGATCTTTACATTTTTGAATTACAGAAACACTGTGATATTTTCAGGCCTGTGCGGTTTGCTTCTTCATCCTTTAAGTCCCCCATCACCTCCCAGTACAACACAGAAAGCCCTTTGTGTCTCTGAGGTGTGTGTAATACAGTGTGTGTGTGTCTCTGTGTTCCAGCCTGGCGCTTTGAAACCCCACAACAGGTGCAGTTTGTGGAGAAGCTCTCCGATGTGGTGATTGGTCAGTTGCCCAACTTCTGGAAGCTCTGGATCTCTTATGTTAACGGAAGTCTTTTCAGTGAGGTAAAGGCCTGAGAAGCTTTTACAGTGAAGAAAAGATATAGAATCAGAAATATGTACACAAACAGAAGGGTTAACAAACTCCCACTCACATGTTTTTATATTTAGATAGTTTTATAAAAACGTTCTCCCTCCACCCGTAAAATGTTTAGGTATTTCACATTTGATCTGTGAAGCTATGGTTTATTTTCTTAAATCCACAGCAAGCAGGCTCTCCATTTAACACACTGTCAACAAAAATATTGCCTTTTTTTGTGGACAGGCACCTTTTTATGTTTGATACCCAACCATTTATTTCACTGCAGCTTTTTCTTACAAGCATGAATTAATATATCTTTGAGGGATTTCCATTTTGGACCTCTTATTAAATGTTTATCAGAACATTAAGGGAGCCTGCAAACTGTGTTTAAGTTTAGGGAATTGTTATTTTACTGGTCTAACAAAAGAACTTAAAGTAAAAGCCAAAACATTTACTATTTTCAGATATATTAACCAATTCTTCTTCTTTTCTTTCTTCCTGCAGACTGGAGAGAAGTCTGGGCAGGTGGAAAAGTCCAAGAAGAATGCCAGACAGAGACAAAATGATTTTAAAGTATGGTTCTTCATTGTGACTGTTTACAAACAATGTATTTTGAGCCTTTGACTCATGCATTTGGTTTGCAAAAAAAGACACCTGAACCTTGTTGTTTGTACATCTCGCTGTATGTTTAGAAAATGATCGAGGAGATGACCAATCGGCTGGTGAAGCTGGTTCGGGGGGCTCTCCTCCCCACCACGCTGCCACAGGCGGATCTGAGTCTTTACGGAGGCTGGGAGAACAAGACGGAGCTGACTGGAGCCTGGCTCACACAGATCATACACACCGTCAGGTTGGGATATGTTTAGTATGTCCAGCTTTCACATGGTTAGATGCAGGATTATTTCTAACTTCATGCCCCTCGCACCATTTAAAGACCCCTCCCTGTTGCCTCTCTTGCCTCTCGTCCAGGGCTTGTCACGAGGCTATGTCTGCTCTGGAGATCCCCTAACGACCTGCTGCAGGTGATCCAGGATCTGCTGCTGGAGCTGAGGGTCCACTGCCTCATGGTGACTCTGCTGCACACCACTGAGGGTAAGGGAGGCTGGTAGAGCTGGAACAGTGATGGATAGCAGAGGATATGAAATGTGTCCTGCCATATATAGACATATAGACATGCATGGCATATCCTCCCTGACAGCACAACATCTTTTAAACCCTAGTGTAATTTACAAAAATAAATAGTTTAATCTAAAGCCTTATATTAATAAGCCAAATATTCAAACCATAATGATCTTAAAGTAAAAGTGGCTCTAACACAGATGGTTGGTGATCCTCATGAAAACTAACATGATTTTCCAAATGATCAGTAATGACCTGATGCGCATGTCATGTTTGGAGATGCACCAATAGCAATTTCCTTTAAATGTCCTTATAGCTGGTTTTTATTTCCTTTGTTTCTGATCATTATTAATGACAGTATAAAAAACCATTATTGTAACTTTTTGTTTTTATTCCATATTATTCTATTCTACATATAAGCATAAAAGCAGCTGATTGTGCACCTCACCCATATCATGTTAGTTTGTAAAAAGTGCTTAAACACTACATGAAAACAATTTAATTCCTCTATTAATTGGGCTTTTGTTTTTAAAATGGATAAGATAACAATAAAAAACAAGAGCTTTGTCCAAATGATAAACAACCTACTAATTCACTGGAAAACTCAAAACTGGATGGATAAATGTTGACCACAGTTAAAACAAGAGGATCTTGGGAAACTAAAGAATACATGTGTTTTTTTAGGAGCACTTGGAGCTCTCTTTTGTGAGGTGTAATGCCTGTGTCATACTGAAGTCACTTGGTTGATGTATGTTTTGTATTATGTCCTGTTTGCACAGAATGGTAGAGCACATTAGTGTCAGCGAAAAAACTGTACATGTTTAACCATTAGTATGTACTATTATATATAAAGTAAACACTGTATCAAATATTTGGATGTTTTGAATTTGGACACGGTCCAAATTGAAGATTGATATAATCGATCTTCTTTTGCAAAAACCCACACAGATCTGTCCTTGCTGTCTTCCTCTATTTGGAGTATTTGGAGGTCATTGACTTTAACTGTCACCTTTACCTCACACAACTTCCAAGATTGTAACGGAGAAAGTGTTATGAGACTAAAACCAGACATGCTCGGTTTCACTTGTGGTCGGTCATGGTCATTTTGAGAATAGTGACTGGTTCTCACTTAACTTTCCGCACACACTCATCAAATTGTGGTGTTGCCAAGAAACGTTTTATTTTGATATCATCTTGTGGTTTTCACTCAGAAAATAAATTTAAATGTTTTGATTCTATTGTCCCTTTGTGAAAGCAATCCTATATTAAAAAAGAAAGTTCTATCTGAGAAACTGTGGAGACATTTTTAGTAATTTTTCATATTCATTTTTATATCTGTGCTTTTTGTGTGTCAGATGTCAAGAGGCTCGCTGAGAAGGAGGACTGGGTCGTGGATAATGAGGGAATTACCAGCCTGGTAAGGATGTGTAAATACATAAAGCAGATTCATAATAAGATATAAAATACATACTCAAGTTATCTATAGTTAGTAACATGTTGGATACACATTTAAAAACACAATTCCATTTCTATTCAGCTGCTTTGTTAGTTCCTTTTCTGTTCAAAAACGTGAGTGTCTAGTAGAGCAATTTATCTGACGATCAGAAAATATCATTTGTGTTTCTTTAGTTTTTCACTTTATGTCCACATAATGTATTTGCATGCAGATTAAAATGTAAGCCTCTTCTCAGGAGTCCGCTTTTGTAAACTATGTTGATGTTCTCTCCTCATGTTTTTTTGCAGCCTTCCCAGTTTGAGCAGTGCATGATCCTGATGCTGCAGTCCCTCAAAGAGCCGCTGGAGATCAAACAAGGAGAAATGAATGTGAGGAAATCACCTGCAATCAGCAAGCAAATACTATCAAGTATTTATTATTAACTCATTGGTTATCATTGAATCTTTGTTTATGAATGTAAACATAATCATTTGTTTTATCACACTTTGAATAGCTCATACTCAATATGTCTGCTCCGTTGCTCCACTGAGCATGGGTCGAAGAAGAGGATGAATAATCTCCTCAATCTAATCCTCTGCAATCCTGACTGCAGCTGTATTTAAGGAGATGTAACTGCAAACAAGCTCTGATTGTATCTTTAGTATTTGCATTTGTGGCAGTCATTCATCTTAGGTGCCCGTCTAGTTCCCTCAGATGGAGAAGGATCAGTGGGCAAAGCAGTCCTGATTATGATTTGAGTCACCAATGTCCTATGATTAATAAAGAAAGTGCAAAGCAACCTAAGGAGACTGTGCTCAGACAAAGAAACAGTCATGATACTGCTCTGTTATAGGGATAATTTAAAAAATAGGGATAGCAGATCACATTGCTTAACATGCCAATAAAACACTCAAACAATAGAACAACACATTGTCTGATTTTAAGTATCTTGAAGCGGATACTAGCACTCTCGTGATGTGCCTTACTGTGTTGTGTTCAGGTGCTGCAGATAGACCAGGTCCAGGATCAAGCCACAGAGCTCAGTGTGGGCATCATGAAGGTAAGATCTATCAGCAGCTAACAACAACAAATATGGTTCAATCATGGAGGTTTTCACCATCACATAAATGACGTGAAGCCAACCTGAAAGCCTGTTATGCAGTCTACCAACTTGTAGCTCTTATTCGTACTGTGTAATCATGGGCCACTTGAGAGAACATTAATTACATATGTGGCTGTCAATACATTAAAGAAAATAGCAGAAGCACTTAAAAATGTGCTTCTGACTTGTTAGATCATTTCCAGAGTGTTTTAAAGTCCTCAAGTCGAAGGTAGATGTAATCATTTCCAAAATTCACAACATGTTTTTACAGATAGATAGATAGATAGATAGATAGAGAGATAGATAGATAGATAGATAGATAGATAGATAGAGAGATAGAGAGATAGATAGATAGATAGATAGATAGATAGATAGATAGATAGATAGATAGACAGACAGACAGACAGACAGACACAATAAGATACAAATATAACAACATTTAAAAACTAACATTAGCGGCAATTGTATATAGTAAGAATACAAATTGAGATTGACACTAGGAGCAAGTATATACAATTTCCCAATAGAAAGACATTGGATTGAGTATACTTTATAACTGTGTAAATAGCTGTGTTGCAAATTGTTCTGGGTTATGGAATTATCTACGAACATATTCGACAAACACAGTGTGACATGTAGTACACTATTGTTTTCACATTGTAAATGCACCGTGCAACTATTACATCTTACCAATGATATCCGGTAGCTATGGAAACACCTCTTACTCTTTATCGCCTACAGTAAGACATGAGTATGGCACCTATTTTTCATAATTCTGTTTATTTTCCATGCAGGTTTTCATAAACTGCTTGGAGCACCTGAGCACTAAAACTGATGGAGATATTGATGCATCTCAGTAAGTATTGGGATGATATATTATAGTGTGCTTGACTCTGAAAACATGTTAAATACATATTTTCTGTGTGTGCAGCAACATTTCAGTGGACCTCTCCTCGCCAGTTCGTTTTTCTGGAATTCACGAGGGCTTCAGCCCAACATCTGTAAGCGTGATGGGTTTTTTATTATTTCCTTTAAACTGTTTGGGGTTAATACACCTGAAATCCCACATCTGGCAGCGTCACCAAAGCGTGGGCCCGCTCTCCTTTACACAACAGGACCAACGAGTGTCTCACTCAAACCACCAAATGTTATCAGGCTGTTTCCTGGTTGTGGACAAGAAGCCTATACGTCCTCATTTCCTGTAACTACTTTGAGATGTTAGTGAAGGGGGTTAAAGAGGAGGGCGAGGAGGAAGAGCGGGGTGTAGAGTGCTTCTGGTAAAGGGAAATGGAGCGAGGTGCGTTTGGGGTTTCCCCTGCCCAAGCAAGGGTAAGACAGACAGAATCGAATAAGTGCGGCTGACCAGAGAGGTGTCAATCATGATATGAGATCTATTGTTTAGCTACTTGAAACCTTTGCATACAATCGCAGAGAATTACTAGAAAGTGATCAGTTTACGCCCATCAAAGTCTCCTATCTCGTCTGTAGTTTTGCTAAAGATTTAAAATAACTGGCTTCAAATGCAAACATAATTTGTGGCTTTCAAAACAGATCAGTTGTCACTCTTTTCAGTGATCGATTGATCGCGTCTAATCTTTTGTATGGATTATTGTGTGTCTGCGTTATGCTGTATGTTCGCGAGTACCAATTTAGACCATGCGCATTTGGACCTTTCGATACATGAATAATATAAAACATTTTACGGGATTTGGGGAATTTAGGATATTTTTAAGTGATTGCATTTTAGTATTCAGAAAGTTTAAAAATGTTAGAACGTTTTTGCAAAATCAGTCCATTTTAGTCAGTTAAGGACACTTATAAAAGTAAGGACATTTTTGGAAAGTGAAGACATTCTAGTTAAGTGGGTATATTTTGAGTTGGAAGTTGGTACATATTTTATATAAAGTTGAGGACATTTAAGGAAAAGAAGGACATCCTCACTCCTTCAAAGGGCTGTTCAATAGTTACTGTATCCTGGGGGATTCTGTTGAATTATTTTAAACATTTTCACGAAGTTGGTTATCAGGCAATGAATGTAATAACGAGCTCTATTGGTGTAAAACAGTGCAATATGTGTGTAACATGGGTGCAACATGGCTGTAACACATGCTGTATGTAACATGGGGGGAATGTGGGTGGAATAGATGTGGACTGTTTCATGATTTTCAAAAAGAATCATGAAATTATGTAATTTTAGACTAGATACATTAGGAAATATCAAAACAAATGTTCTTGTGCTCGCCATTTAAGGGTAAGGTTAGACTTAGGGTTAGTTTTAGGGTTTTGATCGTGCATGTAGTTGTGATGGTTAAAGTCAGGGGCTATGATAGATAGATAGATACTTTATTATCCCAATGTGGGTCCTTGCAAGTATTAAGATAGAAACATGTGTTTTGTGTGTATAGGAGCAGCGTCTACTGATCATCCTCAGTAACTGCCATTACCTGGAGAAACACACCTTCCTGAACCTGGCTAACTACTTTGAGAAACACGGCCTGACAGGCACCGAGAAGATCACACGGGTCAGTTAAAACTCTGTTTCTTACCAATGGAGTCCTCATTGTGTGTCATGATGCTGATGAGAAGTGTGTCGGGTTGTCATTGACATCAAAGAGACCCTGAAGGTATGACTCGTTTCTTTTTAAAAAAAAGTAAAGGTCATTGTCTTAGAAGCTCACTTCTGCATTTTCACTCCTTTCTTTTCTTCACACACTCTCACAATGACTAATGGCTGATTCACAAAGCAAAGAAGAGTTCGGTTGGTTTTCCAGTAATAACCGGTGAACTCGATTTCTTTGAAAGATTCTATGTATTGCTGTAGAGAGCAATTATTAGTATTTAGAGAGCAAGATATTATATAGAAATTCTGATAATAGTTTTAACTAAACAGAGGTTTTAAAAATAAAATGTCCCATCATGCATCTATCACACAGCTGCCTCACATATGGTGCAATTAACTCTGTAAATAAAGGCAGCATTAAAGCAGTTCCATTTGACATGAAGGTTATGCATCTCTCATTGCATAGGCACAAGTCAATGTTATTGAGATGATGTTACCAAAACATGACAAAGACTATTCTAATCAGCTACAGATGTTAATTCAACAGCATCAAAAATGCAAATAAAACATTTTTTACACATTTTGGGTGGTTTATGGTTTATAGCATTCACATTTTATTTTTAGTTTTCTATGATTTTTTTTTTTTAGATACATTTGTCATATTGTGAGTAAGAATGCTTTAGTCGAAGAGTAGGTAAATGAGAGAAATTTGTAAATCTCTTTGCCAGCTAAGGCATTAAAGCTCTCTAAAGAAGGCCTAAGTCATTTTTACCAACCCATCTATATCCCAACTGGAAGTATAGACTTATCCCGTAGGTCTGTTTGTCTGTTGAACACCAGTTTTACGGAGAAAATACCCGCTCGATTTTTGTGAAACTTAGTATAGGGTTGTGGCTCGGGCCAAAAAAGGGAACACTTTTAGTTTTTAGAAGAGAGAAACACTAATTAATTTTTCGCTTGTTGCCCTTCTAGTTTTTATTATATGATATCAAGCCATACACACACACATCTGTTATATGTCGACAGATGTGTACAATACATCTTAAGACATGTAAGACCACAACGATAATCATATGAGATCGATTATGAGGTATATATTTATTCCTACAGTTTTATCGCCTGCTTAAACTTGGTGATACAAATAATGAGACATACACTAATATTAATCTTAATCCCAGAGGGGAAATTCAATTTACACATCACACACATTGGCCCAAAATACACATATGCAAAAACAGGACCTAAACCCATTATTGGAGAGGTGTCCACGCGAGGGGGAGGCGCCCAGAGAAGGTGGTGCCTTGCTCAAGGACACAAACTAGCACCTCTCCATTTAGCATTCCACTCTCTATACTCGGTCCGATTGGGATTTGAACTGACCACCATACAGACTGAGATACTGCTGCCCCATAAAGATACATTGTGTACTTGTATATCTCCACTTCTTTTAAAGTAACATTACTTTTTCTTGGTGTTCCAGGTGAGTATGGACGCGGTTCGAGGGCTGGACAGAAAACTGTTTGAGGCTTACATCGAGAGACGTGCCGACCCGATCGCTGGCTCTCTGGAGCCGGGGATCTACGCTGGGTACTTTGACTGGAGGGACTGCCAAACACCTACAGGTACTGCACCGCCATGATAAAACCTGGAGCGTCTGAGATGACAGGGAAAATCCCCGACGGCAACCACTATCTGACCCCATTCATCTCAGAAATTAGCACTCCTGTGGGATGAGAACCTGACGTCTCTGGTTTGACCTTTTTGTTGTGGTTGTTGTGTGTCGTGTGTAAAGTACGGCTCTTTGATGGCTTACTGTAAACACCCCTGAGATCTCTCTGCTGGTCCCCCTAAACTTCTCCTGGCCTTTGTGTCGTGCTGTGGGAGTGCACATGAGTTTGACTTGTTCTCATCAGATGCAGCAAACCCAGGTGAAACTTAAATGTGTATATGTGGTTTACCTTAGCACAGGATGTGAGGCAACAATAGCAATGTGTGAGTGTTTCTAGGTGGGCAGCAGATCATCACACAAAAGGCTGTAATGAACGAAAGTAGGGTTGGCTCTGGTTTGTTCCTGCTGGTGTGTGTTTGGGCCGCATGTGAAACAGGAACATTTGGAATCCAAACCGCAGTTCTAGGATATGATACTTTCACTTGTTGCATTTGGTGTGTGGGTGCTGCAGCAAGGCATTCAAAATCCAGTTTCACTACTTTCGGTCTGTTGTTGCTTCTGGTTGTTAGAGGGTATTAAATGTTAGATTTTAATATTTTTTTCGCAGAACAGTCTAAAGTCATAACAATACACTTCCAGTTCCATTTATTTGCATTATCTTGATCTTTGCGTGCAGCTTATCACTCTTTTCAGAGGCAAACATACCATGAAGCAATACAAAATAATAACAACATCCCCCCCCCTGAGTGACCTTTCTATCATGAATGAATGCGGCGTCAATATTTCTGATAAATATCGTTAATCAGTAAATCTTTGAAGATTTCTCTGAACAGCCACTTCCATTCGCCACGTACTGTTGTATATTCACACGTACGTATTCAATATATACAATACCAGATGTTATCTATAAAATGAAACATGAAAGTGGTGTGGGCAGACTGCATTGCCTTATTTGGCCTAAAGTGCGGTAGAAAACATTATAAGTTACTTTCAGTGTGGACAACAAAGTTCTTCTCCCTGAATCAAATGAGTAATTAAATATTTTCTACCTAATCCGAATATTTTGAAATTGGTATAGTAAGGTAGAGAGAAACAATGTTTGATTTTAAAGGGGCCCTATTATGCTTCTTGGGGTTTTCCCTTTCCTGGAGTTTGTTATTTAGGTTTGTGTGCCTGTAAATAGTCTGCAAAGGCTCAAATGTAAAAGTTCTATCCAGAGGGAGTTTCTCTCCAACACTCTTGTGACCAATCACAACAGAGCCGGCCAGCTAACCAATCAGAGCAGACTGGGCTCTGGTTTCAGACAGAGTGTGAAAAGAGGTGCTGCAGTATGAGAAAGATAAATACCTTTTTGAACATTAAAGCATGGAAACTTGTCACCGTAGAAGCACAACATCTGTTTGTGTTTTTAACGCTAATGAAAATCAGAAATACAAAAATGTATGCCTTTATTTGTCAGTGATAGTGGAGAGAGAGTCGGGGAATAATACACAGCTTAAGGTCTCACCAGCGAGAAGTCAAACTCGACACCTGCTGATCGGGCCATTCGATATGGCTCGATCAACCTTCCTAAATTCTCCCACACCACTCCGCTCCTCCGCTCCCTCCACTGGCTTCCGATAACTGCTTGAATCCACTTCAAGACAATGGTACTTGCGTACCGTGCTGCGAATGGATCTGGCCCTTCCTACATCCAGGACATGGTTAAACCGTACACCCCGGCACGTGCACTCCGCTCTGCATCAACCAAACGACTCGTTGTGCCCTCGCTGCGAGGGGGACCCAAGTTCCCATCAGCAAAAACACGTGGGTTTGCTGTCCTGGCTCCAAGATGGTGGAATGAGCTCCCCATTGACATCAGGACAGCAGATAGCTTGCACATCTTCCGGCGCAGACTGAAAACTCATCTCTTTCGACTCCACTTCGAGCGTTAGAACTATTAACGAAGCACTTATATACTAATAAAGGACTGGCTTACCTAAAGCCAGTTGAGTAGCACTTGAAATGTTTTTGCTCTATGAAACCTGATGTACTTATATGATTCTGTTTTCTTCAAGTTTGTATTTTGTTGGTCGAACGCACTTATTGTAAGTCGCTTTGGATAAAAGCGTCAGCTAAATGCAATGTAATGTAATGATATGGCGTCCGCACTAACCACTCGGTTATTGGGTTTTCCCGTATGCACATTTTTAATGTGGCAGAAAAACTCCTGTCCTGCGTTTTGGTATCACTTTCTTTGAAACCTTTTACTTTGAGATATCCAAATGTCAGGAAAATCCTTTCACCAAAGCAACAAACGGCAAGGAGCGGCAGAACTGAATTCATGCCCTCAATCACAGCTAGGAATCATCCTGAAAGGGCAAAACACATGCTGTAGTCATCAATTTACTAGGGCTGTCAGTCGATTAAAATATTTAATCGCGATTAATCGCACATTTTTTATCTGTTCTAAATGTGCCTTAGAGGAATATTTTTCAAGTTTTTAATACTCTTATCAACATATGAGTGGACAAATATGCTTTATGCTAATGTTTATTATCATTGGAACAATGACAAATATTCTCCTGAATATTCTCAACACAACAACCTGGAACCTCTCTCTCTCTCTTACACTCTCTCCCTCTCTCTCTCCCAACCCTGTCTACTTCTCTACACTGAGCCAGTCGCTCAAACAGACAAGCCTGTTTACAGTTGTCGGCGAAATGCCGCTCCTGTCTTCATCTTCAGTCAAAGCATGAGACTGAAGTTCCCACACGTTGGATGTGATCCGAATTATCTAACGCAGCCCCTCGTCCTCCACAATGTTAAGCTGTAGCCACCCATTTAGCTATCGTTGTAGTTGTCCAGGCGTCTCCCCGGCAACTTTCAAGCGTGGTCTGCCGCAAGCGAGCGGCAGGAGCGGGGCTGTCAGCATCAGCTGTGTGCTTGGCTTGCTGTTTAAAACACCTTGTTTTATATCCATATCTCTCGCTAGAATCTCCCACCATCCAACTAACAACAACAACAACGTCAACCCTTTGGGCTCTGAAACTACGGGGCGGGCCGAGGACAAATACACATGCGTTAATCGCACGTTCAAATAATTAGTGTCGTTAAAAATGTTTTGCATTAACGCGTTATTAACGCGTTAACTTGACAGCCCTACAATTTACACATGTAAAATTACACCATTTATTTTGACATTTCAACCTTGGATCTCTTACTGTAGATGTGCCTGAAGATTGACACTCTCAGTTCTTTGACTTGCTAACTTTCCCCCATTTTCTGGGTTTAAGCCTAATGTGTATCTGCATGGTGATATGAACTTGCGTCCAGTTAGCTTTTAGCATAATATTCTCCCTTGTATCTGGATTTATGTTTTTCTTTTCTGCCTCAGGTGTAAGGAACTACCTGAAGGAAGCTCTGGTCAGCATCATCACAGTTCATGCTGAGGTAAATACAACCTTGTCTTGTTGATTCTACTTTGATCAAACCCTGTACTAACGAGCCGTTTCCATGCTTTAATCTTTCTCAGGTCTTCACCGTGTCTAAGGACCTGGTTCCTCGGGTTCTTTCTAAAATTGTCGAGTCAGTTGCGGACGAAATGTGTCGTCTTATGCAATGTGTATCATCCTTCAGCAAGAACGGAGCCCTGCAGGTACACCTCTCACCGCGCACACACACACACATTTATAGAGCTGTTTATCACTCATAGTACGACTCTGACTCACAAGTGGACCATCACACTTGTTGGGGGATTTACCTGTCGTTCCTGATAATGCCATATTTCACTTCAAGCTGCCAACTGCTGACAGTTAGAGACGTTCATTTTATTGTCTTTCTTTTTTATAAACCCCCCCCCCCCCCCCATCACCCTTCAGGCTCGTCTTGAACTCTGTGCTCTGAGAGACGCCATTGGTGCCTACCTAAACTCTGAAAGCAAGTAAGTTAAACACACACACACACCCGTTCACATTTGCCCAGTGATTTATGGCAGCGAGTGTCACACACATAAATCTTAGCAGTCGCACATCCCTCACTACAATCCCTATTTATGTTACTTGGTGGGCTATGGAAAGGAAGTGAAAGTAATCTGGTTCTGCTGTGTGCACGCACTGTGGTGTCCCCATATGTGTGTGTGTGCATACATGTGGGGAGGCGTGTGTGCATGCTTAGATTTACAACTGTATTTTTTGCTTTCTCTTGTTCATCAATGTGTTGTTTTCTTATCATTTTTCAACTGGGCGTCTTGTTTCTAGTGCCAGCTTCAAACTGGCTTTGGACGCCCTTCCTCAGCTACACAGCGGCGCCGATAAGAAGTGGGTTACTCATAACATTTATATTTTTTTGTGCTTTAAAGATTAATTTAACATATTTGTATTTCTCCCACCAGGTTGTTGGAAGAGCTGCTGAACAAGTTTAAGAGCAGCATGCAGCTCCAGCTCACCTGCTTCCAGCCCTCCTGCATCCAGCCTGTTAAGAGATAAACTCCTTTCACTCTATCTGGCACCTTTCCTTATCTTATCTATGTGTGATCAGCTAATGAACTATGGCCGTTTCTTTTCACTGATCACTTCACTGGTTTACTCATCGCTCTATTTCGGTGTCACTTCCTACTTCTGCTTCACCAATGTTCATCTAATCGCAAAGACACGAAATGAGTTGATTTCATTGTTACTGTGTAGGACAGTCCCAGTCTGGCTGGTTATGCTAATCACATATGGCTACTCAACAGGGAGTGTGCAAGAGGCTAACTGGGTAGTGTCAAGAAAGTTCTAGACTGTAACCATGATGGAGTCGCCATGTCTCAGACTGAAATATTTTTTCTAAGATTAAAAGTTGATGTTGATGCTTTACCGTGCCATCTCCAATACCCAATAAATACAAAAAATATGGTTAAAACATTGTTTTCTTCTGACCATTTCTAACAGTCTTTATCTGCGGATCAAGCCTGGTTTAAAATCCCCTTAGTGTTACCGGGGCAAAGGTGTGCGTGATACTAAGGTGACACATTTTATGTCTTCGGGTTGTATTGCTATAGTGCAAAGCCTCCGCAAGTTTGGACTTCACAAGAAACTAAAAATAATTTTAAAAAAAAACTTTTCTCGGTTTTCTACGGTCCAGTCCAATCTTCACAGGGACAATAGAAAACTGAATGCAATAAACTCACTACGCGTCCACGAGACACCCCATATTCTATCTCTGAACGCAACATTGTAAACAACAAACCTGTGTGGAATTATCTCTATTCGATAGAGGACATAATATGCCCATACTGTGACATGTTAACATGCTTTAATGTTCAAAAAGCACCTCTTTTCACCCTCTGTCTGAAACCAGAGCCCAGTCTGCTCTGATTGGTTAGCTGAAGAGCCATTTTGCCCCCTTTTCCAACAATTTGTTTTGTCTGGAGCCGCAAAACATATTTGATAGCCTATGAAGTTGTATTTATTGTTATATCATAGACAAAAACTACAGGTGTTTTGCATTTATTATTTATAAAACTGTTAACCTCTAATAAGAAACAAAGAACTCTTATAAGGAGAATACAAAAAAAGACACAGGCCTACTTTAAAATAAATTAAACACAGCACTTGGGGAGTCCTCTGCACATTTGAAGGAAAAAAATACAATTAAAATGGGCCCACTTTGAAATAAATAAAACACCCTAAAAAGAGTTAACTGATTGAATTACAGTGTGCGAAAAAGTACACGTCCCACAGTCCGGGACGTGTTATTTACAATATCGGACAAGTAGATCTTTCAATTGACTTGTCCGGCGGACAAGTGACGTTTTTCGACCTGATTTATTGACAAATTATTGATACATTCAGTTTACAAAAGGCAGAACTCATTCGCAAATTGTACGTGTCCGCCATTGTTCGTCTAGAAATGTTAGTTTCGGTTCTGCTTGTCGATTCCTAAGGAAATGCATCTCGCCGCTTTCTGTACAGTTAGACGGGGGCGGAGCGGGGCGGGAAGTGTAGCACAGTGGCAAGGTTGGGAAGCAAAACTCGGTTCCGAGTAGGAACAAATAACAATTGTCCGGTATCGGGATTAATAAGAGTTGTGAGGACAGGAGGCGAGGCCGAGCCCCGCGGACTGCAGCTCTCTCTATGCTCCGTATCAGCTGATCGCTGCACGGTGCAGCTCAGCGTCTCTCTCTCTCTCTCTCTCTCTCTCTCTCTCTCTCTCTCTCTCTCTCTCTCTCTCTCTCTCTCTCTCTCTCTCTCTCTCTCTCTCGCTCTCTCTCTCTCTCTCTCTCGATCATCATCGTCATTATTATTATTATTAGGTTATGTCCTATGTGTTGGACATGTGTGGTTGGACTCTGTCTCACAGGCAGGTTGCAGTGTAACATCAGAGGACACTGGGCCAATTGCACATTCTCAAACTGCACCACTTAGAACTAACTAAACAATGCAGAGATTATTTTTATATAATTGTATTCAATAACCGTAAGAAATTAAACAGTATGAAGTTATTTGTAAATAGGAATACAGATTTGACTTAATGTTTTCATAAATATATTTGTCTCCCAGTTTGACTTGTTTTTACCCTCTCAAAGAACCGGAATCGAGAACCGAAAATAACCGGAATTGAAAAGCAGAACCGGAATCGTTAAAATCCAAACGATACCCAGCCCTATGTGTGATGCAGTAAATCTTACCGCTCACTTACGTTAGCGGTGTCGTAAAAACCGTGGGAAAATGTAAAATACGATGACGAAGAAGAAGATTCCAGTGGCCCCAATTTTTGTCCATTCTGGACAAGTGAAAAATGTATTCGGACAAGTAAATTGCCAAACTCACTTGTCCATGGACAAGTACTCTCTAAAAACTTTTTCTCACACTGAATTATGACTGAAGATCGTCAGCTGTCTTCCTCTTCCGTGTTTTTCCTCCAATACGTAAAGGCTGCAGCTCCTTTGACAACTTCTCTCCACATATCAAACATACCGGTAAGCCAGCATCGTTTGCTGTGAAAACAGATAACTCTGTCCACGCAGAATTAAATCCTGTGTGTTCCTCCGGTACTTTTATTTTCTCTGATTTATCCTTAATTCGCTCATCGAGCCGGGAGTCAGGTTATTCGCCTCCAAGAAAAGGCGCTGGTGCGGGACCGTAGCAGGATGTGACGCATCTTTTAGTTGACCTAATTAAAACCGTTTTGTTTTTTATTTAGTGTCACAGTATCACCTCAAGATACGAAACATTTTCAACCGTGCAACAAAATATAAATAGTCCTACAAATGCTTTTATTTTATTTACTTCTTATTTATGTCTAAACTCAAGGGAGCCAGAGCAGAGGGCTTAAAGAGTCGCAGGTTGCCGACCCCTGGCCTATCACATACAAGGTGTTGGAGCACTAGCCAGAAGCGTGAGTGTTACACAGTGATGTCATTATGTTACAGAAGTAAATAAAGGAGTCCAATGGAGGCGTTTCAGGCAGGGAGAGTGTGTGGGAGAGAAACTCCCCATGGAGGGAACTTTGAGATGTTAGCCTTTGCAGACCATTTACATGCACTAAATCCTAAATAACACACAAGGGAAAACCCCAAAAAGCGTTATAGCGCCTCTTTAAAATGACTTGTCAAAGGTAAAATATATAGTGTTATTATGATGTGTTTAAATGTAATTTTGATACATTTCTAATTTTGGGAGGAACTTGAATTAACAGTTTTCACAGGTGTTAAAGAGGGAATTATGACCTCTTTAACTTCCTCACAAATAATTGTTTATAAAAAACAATTTTCAGCATTAATTGGTGGTTGTCTTCAAATTGTTCTTCATTTAAAGATTCTGTTGAGCTCGAGGTGTGTGGCAGGCAAAATATTGCATTACATTATATTTGTTCATGTTCCAGTTATTATGTGACAGTGGTTCTCTTTCTTTTATGATGAGACAACCCTAAAGAACTATTTTGTATCAGTGCATATTTGCAGACAGTTGGTCTGTGTGCACCTCGGTTCAAACTAGAGCCTTGAACCCATTCATCTCTGGAGCTCAGGCTCGCCGGTTAACTGGTGCTTTCTGGAAGAGGACAGGGCGTGTGCAGGGTGGAGGGGAGGGGTTGTGATAAAGCCGTTATTCAGGCAGCAAGCTCATCAGAACAGGGTGTAATTGGATCCAGGATGAAGATGGTGGCAACAGAAAGTGTGATAATGGTGGTGGGTGTAATGACTTACGGTTGCGGTAGGTTTAGTCACTGAGGCAGAGGACACAGACAGCGGCACGCCCACACCTCACATGAGAGACTAGACAAAGAAATTAGTTTCTCTTGGGAGGAGTTGGACTTGCGGCTGACCCATTTGATCTCCACTTCAGAATGTAAATGCACCACCTTTTACATTTAAGGTGTACAACTTTGTGTTATTGTCTACATTCATGCCCCACAGACCTTTTCTCTGTCTTGGTTTCCCATCTGCGTTTAGGGGAAGGCCGTGCAGGGCAGACAGCAGTTGTTTTGATTCTCTGAGGTCTAAACTTAGCTCTCTGCCCTCCCACGGATTCATTCACAAAATAATTTCAAAGCCTAAAGCCTTATCCGCTTTCTGTTTACAGTAACAGAGGTGAGAAGGGGGAGTTTATTTTGTATTGTTTGGTTCTGCAGGTCTCCATACCTTCAAAACATACTTTAAACTTTGATCCGACTTGATGAGTGGGTAATTAAAAGGAATGGAGAAATGTGACACATACTTTTAGGTTGAGCTCACAGTTACTGTTATTGACTGTTTTTCGTTGAATTCATGCATCTGCGACAAAACGAGTAGACATGAAAAAGATCAGCAAGAAACACGTACAAAGCAGTCATTTATCTGGATCACTTTCTTGAGAAATACTAAGCCATGTGTGTCTAATGTCTAACCATTATCTTAAAAAGGAAATGGTAATTAATATCTTAATGTGATCATAAGCAGATTAAATAAGTGACGATTGGTCTATAGTAGTTGAAAACAGTTATTACTTATCCAGCAAAGATACATTTTTATTATTAAAGCTATATTTCTATTTATTATCTGTTCACACACCAGCCTAAAATGATTGTTACCCATAAGAATAGTTATTATCAAATACATGTATAAGCACTTACATCTTCTTACCACTACATAACAGTTTGTTTTAGTAATATATATATTACAATTTGTGTATGTACAAATACTTGTTTTGAAGTAAAACATGCATGAAATAATCTATGTAGTTGGAAAAACTGCAAATTGTTTGATAATGATCTGCAGGGGCGTTGCCTGGATCTCATCGGGAGATAAGACCGACAATTGTACACGTGGTCAGACGGGAAGCTGTTTAATCTGGCCCGACAGCGCAGCTGGTCTACATCGCCTGATGGACAGATTCAGTGCAGCATGCTCTGAATTTGCACTGATCATCAACATCAAAAAGACAGTTGTTATGCACCAAGCAGGAAGTGCAGCGTCGCCGGTTATGGTGAACGAGCATGTGCTGGAGACTGTTGACCAGTTCACGTATCTTGGCTCAACAATCAGCAGTGACCTGTCATTAGTTAAGGAGACTCAGACTCGTATCGGCAAAGCCGCAACGTCTTTCAGTCGTTTGCGCTCAAGAGCCTGGAGCAACAAATACCTCACCGAGCGCACTAAGACACGTATCTACCAATGTTGCGTGGTCAGCGTCCTGATGTATGGTTCTGAGGCGTGGTCAACTTACACGCGGCACGAAAGAGAGCTAAATGCTTTTCACATGCGGTGCCTGCGCAACATCCTCGGGATCACATGGCGGGACAAGGTCACGAACGAGGCGGTGCTAGCAATTTTCCAAACACTGAAGGTCAGGAGGCTGCGGTGGCTCGGTCGCCTTCGCAGAATGCCAGATGGCTGCCTGCCAAAGGACATTTTATACAGCGAGCTGAGCACTGGTTCCAGAGGCAGAGGACAACCACTGCTGCACTTCAAGGATGTCGTAAAACGTGACATGAAGGCCCTGGACATTGCGACGGACAACTGGGAGAGGCTGGTGGAGGACCGGACGAAGTGGCGCCAGCAGCTGCGCGAAGGTGGTGACAGACTTGACAAAGACTGGATTTGTGGACTTGCTCAAAAACGTGGACATACTGTATCTCTCTGATTGCACTGTACAATCTCTTGTAGATTTTCTTGCCAATAAACACTCACTGGCTACTTTATTAGGTACACCTAACGCAATGCATTTAGGCATGTAGACATGGTCAAGAGGACCTGGTGAAGTTCAAACAGAACTTCAGAATGGGGAAGAAATGTGATTTAAGTGACTGTGAACGTGAAAGTTTCTGAGTATTTCAGAAACTGCTGATCTACTGGGATCACAATCATCTCTTGGGTTTACAGAGCATGGTCCGAAAAAGGGAAAATATCCAGTGAGCGGACGTTCTCTGGGCGAAAATGCCTCGTTGATGCCAGAGGTCAGAGAAGGGTGGTTAAAGATCATAAAGGCAACAGTAACTCAAATAACCACTCGTTACAACCAAGGTACCACACATGGAACCTTGAAGCAGGTGATGCCACTGATGATCTGCCACGCAAAGTTGAATGTTTTCTCTGTGTAATGCTGAAGCAGTTTGGTCGTCTCCTACGGTGAATGCTGACTTTAAATTCTGTAGTGGATAACAAAAGATCTGGACAATAATGTTTTTTAGAGATATTCAAGCATCAGTTGTTGTTTTTTTATGTATACTTATGTTATGTTGCCATACATTTCTTAATTTATTTTTAATTTAAGTATAAGGTTAGCAATATTCTCAATAGTTGTCTGCTCTTTGTGTTTTAGAACATAATAACATTGCTATTTGACTTGAAAAACCAGCCATTTACGCACTGGAAAGTTGTAGTTCGTTTATGTGCTGTTTTCTTACATGTTATGGACTTAATAATCACGTCATCCAAAATAACTTGCAACCCTGATGTTCTGCTCATAAACTGTGTGAACGTGGTTTTCAGTATAACCTCTGTTGTTTTTCTCAAGCAACCTAATCAAGTGATGACATCGTCCCTGCTCTTCTTGTAAATGATTTGGTCTTGGTGACAAATGAACTGTGGCTTCTTGTGATTGTTTTCCATGAAAGTGGAAACAGACTCTAATCTGTGAGCAGAAATCAGGAAGGCCTTGTCTCCAGCACGGCGTGGAAAACGTGGCCGACCTCTTCCTCTCTATCCTCCCCTCGTGATGTCATCATACATGTTTGTGACAGAGACGCGTTTGATTAACCAGCCTCTTCCTGCACATGAACCACACTTCCTGTTCAGAAGCAACTCACATACTTATGAACAGAGGTCGTAATTTTTTTTGCAATTGAGCCATTTATTTTTCTTTAGAAAACAGGAATGTGTTCATTAAATGTGTCCAAACATTCACTTTAACTCTTTCTTAAAATTGATGTATGCCAGTTACATTATAATAAAACAAATAGCAACTGAAATATTTAAAATGAAGTTGAAAAAGCTTATATAAAATCATAAAATCTGCTCCCTGAGTTTCTCACACAAACAACCAAGCACAATAATCATAATTCACTAAATGGTGATGATAGTGTCTCCTAGCAATACAACAAATATTCAAAAGAGAAAATCCACACCATTCTCACCTCAGTACAGCAAATATGAAGCTACTGTACAATGAAGATTAGCTTAGCATAAAGACTACATATGACTAGCCTCACTCATTTAAGTGTTAAACTATCTACCAGTAATCACCTTTAAAGCACTGATAGGGGATATTACCTTTATAAGGTTTATTTAAGTATAAAACAAGTGTAAAAACCATAGGTAAAAATGCAGTCTTACTCAAAACCCCACAAAATGACGTTTTTAAACTAAATTGTCTTTCAGAATAAACCAATAAAAAATAACATGATAAATTGTGAGCTTTAAAAAGTTGCTGGTACTGTAGGTGGATTGTGTTACCTTTAGAGATAGTCAGGCTAACCAATTTCCCGTTTTCAGTGTTTGTGCTAAGCTAATCGCTAGCTGGCTCCAGCTTCATCTGTTCACTGTACAGACTCCAGAATGTTCTCAATTTGTTTGACAAGAAACAACATTTCCCAAATGTCTAACTATCACTTTAAGGCACTTCATTTCATCACGCAGTTTTGTACAGTACAATCGCTTAAGCTGTCAGTTTTCTTTGCATAGTCAGTATGGAAAATATTCATGGTGCCACAAAAATACAGTAAGAATATGCAACTTTGGTTCCAGCCACACACACACACACACACACACACACACACACACACACACACACACACACACACACACACACACACACACACACACACACAGAACTCTTCATTGCAGCACTGTCACTAAACGTCCATTATCTTCATATATAACACTGTCCAAGTTTGTCCTCCTGTCTCAGTTTCCTCGTCTCCTGTGTCAAAGGTCACAGCTGCATCCTGAAGGTTTCAACAGTCCCTGAACCCACAGAGGTCACTCCTGCAGGCTGCTGCTGTGCAGATGATGTGTGATGGTCCTCTGGTAGTCCTCAGATGTGTTTATGTGGTCTGTGACTCCGGGGTGCTCGTAGCTGCGGTAGTAGTGGCCCCCCATCTGCTGGGCGTAGTACAGGAGCTGTCTGGCAAACAGCGGCTCCACCTGACAACAGGAAGGTCAGACAGGTCAGTAAAAAGGTTAAACTGTCACCATTTTACATTGCTTATAGTTTCTTTGAGCTAAGATTCATATCAAGATATCACAACTTATTTTTAAAATCCTAAAAGTTAGGAAGTGGAAAAATGGATTGGAAAGTAAAAAAAAAAAATGAAAGTCTGTGAGTTTGTCATACATTTTAATCGGGGACTAACAAAACATTTCTAAAAACCCATTTACTAGCTTTAACCTGAGCTTTCAACTAGAACTATTCGTCTTAAATGTTGTGTTTTTTTTGACAAAATACTGTTAAGAAAAACAGGGTAAGAAATTGAAAATCGGCCTTAGTTTTCACACACGTTTTTCAGAGCTCAGAATCTCCACTTGATCTAAAAGGGGGACTATGGAGCAACACATTCAACACTAATATAGTTCAGGCCTTGGAATAACTGTCCACATTTCATATTATTTCCGAGACCCGGTGGCTTGCTCTGGTGTTGTGCTCATTGAAAGCTGTTTCCCTGGATAATGGAAAGGGGACTTTTCTAAAACAATTGCTTGGTTGGTGGCTTGTTGTAAGTTGAGTTGTTACAGGAATAAGTAACTCTTAAATCAGCATTAGGGCTGCATCTAGTGACTGTTCTCCTTATGAATACATCTACCCATTATTTACCTGCTAATTCCATAACAGTACATGTTTAATATCTTGTCAACTAATCACTCCCAAATACAAATATGCTTTAATGAACACAGTCTGATTATTGGTCTGTAACAGTCAATTGGTTGAAGCTCTACTTTTTGGATTGTTTCTCTGGGTTTTTTCTGGGTTTCAAATCTGTGTCAGAACTTCCATCATCTGAACAAATAGCAGAGATCACAGATGTGGAGGGAGAGTTGAGAGATGTGGAACTGGGCTTTTGCCTAATCTCTCTCAGAAACTGAGTTCAAAGTTTTGGAAACATTATGACTATAAAGAACCCCTGCCTGACTTTCAAATCCTATTTTAAAAGTTAAAAAAAGGCAAAAATGAAAGTAATATGGAGGTGGCAGGATCCTCACCTGGACTGTGAGGCTCTGTCTTTGTCTCTGTGCGTCCAGGATGTCGTCTCCAAAACTCAGCAGGACCTGGAAGCGAGGTAGAGGCCGACCATGGAGCCCGTAACTCTGAATCTCTAAAAGTCCCGGAATAGATAATATCACATTATAATCAGTTGACATAAAAAACATCTGAATTGATAGATTCACATGAATTCAGGATGGTTTCTCTCGAAGTGGCATGACCTTTGGGGTGATTCGAATGGAAAGTCCTGCTCACACCATGTATGCAAATACAATTAGCTGTCAGGCTCTTACACAGCTGGGGCTGGCTTAGCATGTGGGCGGGAGGATGAGTCTTTGAAGAATTCATGTGACTGCCGTCTCATCATGAAATACTACTTTAACAACTTTGCCCACCACAGTAATGTTGAATTTTGGGGGGAATAGTGTGTCTTAAGTTTTGTTCTTAGATGGCTTTAAGCAAAGCAGTTTACAGTAAATGAGGGGTAGTTTTTCCTCAAAGACGATTAAGGCCAACAGACTAACAAAACGGTTTCAAGTTCAAGTCTGCACTGCTGCCTTACTGATTTAAGTTTATCTGTGGCCCCATTTTATGCCTTTTAATAACTGTATTACTATTACATTTAAATTCACAGAGTGGCGTCCAATTCTAGCTTCTTAAATGTGAATATCTGGTGTTTAATATTGTTGTAACTTGAATATCTTTTTATGTGGACTGCTTGTGACCTTAAAGGAAATCTGATGGCATTTTAACTTCTTATAGATCATAAACAATCCAAAAGAATCCCCAGATGAAATGATTATGAAGCTAGTTGCAGCCCTTCCCTGTCTCACCTGTCAGGTAGTCCTGCGTGTGGAGGAGTTTACAGGTGACCTCTCTCTCTAGTTTGTTGAGCTTGTCTCCATACTGGGACAGTCCTCCCTGCCAGTACACCCTGTCCGGACACAGTCTGCGGGCGTAGAGTCCGTCTGGTCCCATCCACAGTAACACCCCCCTCTCCAGGGTGGAGGGGGGGCTCGGGGGACCCTCATCTGTCCTCCTCTGAGCTGAGAGGCTGTCCACAGGCAGAGGCACCACCTCGGGAACTCCTGGCGTCAGGTAGTGCTTCTCCTCCGGGGAGCAGGGAGTGAGGTGGCACCCCTCCGGACTGGAGGTGGTCACCTCCCTCAACAGAGCGTCCCGGAAATATACAGACACATGCAGGCGGAAGTCTGAATGGAGGAGAAGAAGACACAGGTCGATCAATCTTTTCACATTTAATATGATCACGTTTTGTAGTTTAACTTATCATTGTGCGAGGATAAGTATAATAGGGCCCCTTTAAAATAAGTAGGCTAAAGTATTTTCATTGTTTACCTCCAGGTGTAAATAGCAAACAAACAGGTATTAACTGTTTTGTCTTAATGTGTGGCTTTATTTAGATTCTAGGGCTAAATAAGGTATGAAGTCACATCGAAATCAAATGTAGCTTAGTGTAGGAATTCCCCTGGACCGACAGCCCTACTGATTTCAGATTAAAAAAGTGTTTTCTACCTGAGAGCGCCTCTGCTGATCTGATGCCGGCGTCCAGTGTGAAAGGCGAGGGCTGGCTGTCAGCGGGGCCGTACGAGTAGATGGAGGCTCTGAGCTGGTATCCTGCACCCACAGAGGAACAGACAAGAGATCAACACGAGCACAGAAAGGCACATGATGGAATTCTGGAGCTTACATCTGAATGTGGAGTAACGTACCATTCTCCATGGACGGGCCCTGCCATGGCAGGCTGCGGGGGGGACAGGGACACTGAGGGAAGGGCAGGTCGGGCAGGGAGGCCGGCTCCTGGCAGTAATCTCTCCATCCACCCTCTGGTGTGGGCATGTACTGTGGCATCTACACACACAAACATCAGTTCAACATGCACAGTTAACTATCAGTTCTGGACACCTAAAAGCTCAAAAGAAATGACTCTTTTTAGAAAGAGCATTAGGGAGCACAGTAGTAATGTTAATACCATTTTTGTTTTTGTTAGTACAGTTAGTATATTTTACAATGACACACTGTCCTTTTTTTAATCTTAATTCAAAGTTTTCTAAATTGATATTTATGTTACTAAAATCACCTTATTTTGGCTAGTCTTGACGAGCTAGAAATTCACCACCTACAATTTAAAATGATTGTAAATAACAACACAGATCAACAAGACCAGTCCTATTCCTATGTTATGTTCTACTTGTGATATCATTATTTCCAACAGCACTTGAAGGCAGCGTCAGTGAGACTTTGGGATGAAACTCATAAACCTGGCATCTGGTGCATCCAAGGTCAGTGGAGCATGCATAGTACGCTCTCTCATTCACTCTTACTGCTGCACACCAAACCTCTCTCTCACTCTCTCTCTTCCTCCCTTCCTCTGTCTCTCTAACCCACTCATTTGCATGTGTTTGAAAATCACCTGGGTCTGCAGGGCGGGGTAGGGGGAGTGCCCTTGATAACTTGGACTCAGAGGACTGTCCTCCTGCCGGGGTCCTGAACACAAGACAAAAGAAAAGAAACGTATAAACACACAGGCTACAGAGAAAATCCACATCTCATGACATCATGCAGCGTGACCTTCACTGGTGGTTTGTTTTTTTGACTCTTCAAAAGATTTTAACTACACTGAGGAGTCATTGACCTTTATTAATCACTGCAGAGAATTTCCAACTTTGTCTCAAAAAACACAACTTACAATAACTATGTTTACCACTTATTTACAAAAAAGTTCACCCAGTTTGGTTAGCTCTTACACTTGTAATCTTTATGCTGCATTGCCATGTAACTCGTGGCTAATAAATCAACATTTTAAAAGCTGTATTGTTAGATATGTGAGGTGTTGGAGGTGGGACTGACTTTTCTTGGCGCCCTCAGGGATGACCCGGTACACCTTGTAGGGGTCCGAGATGTCCAACTGGCTCCTGTCCACCAGCTCATCGAAGTCATTGCTCTTGTTCAGGGCGCAGCGGAGGCGAGTCTTCCAGGTGGGGGGGTCCAACTTATCGATCCCCTCCCGGAACTTTCCTTTGAACAGCGCCCAGGCCTGCACACAGGTAACCGGGACTACTTTTTAAAAACAACTTTAAAAAGAGAAGCCTGAGACTACAAACTTCACCGTGTTGTGTTTCAGAGCCCTCTCAAGAAGAACGTTTATTCAGCGCTAGTAATTAGTCGATGTATTGAGTTCTCTTGAATTAATCGATTAATTTCAATATTTCAAATGTGACGAAGTTCGGGTTTTCCACAGTCTTATAAGTAATCGGGTTATCTTTTCAGTTGGAATAATTGTTCAGACAAAAACAACTATTTTAAATAAGTCATTTGTCCCTGGGAACTTGTGTCGACTAATTCTGACTAGGCTCTCACCCCAATGCTTAAACTATTTTCAGACATTTAATAAAATTAAAATAAATTAACAAAGTTATTGTCAGACTTTTAAATTAACCGTTGCAGAATTCGCGCTTTTGCATACCCAAAAACACAATTTGTCATGAAAAACTTGAAGACATCATAAGACATTAAAAAATAGAAAATGTTTACGATGTTGTTATTATTTTATAATGAATTGTAGGCAAGGGTTAGGGTTTGTGAAAAAATCTATCAAACGGACAATATATTATTTCTCGTAGTCCCCTTTTGTAGGACTTTAAAATCATATTTTGAGAACTTTTCATAATTTAAACGCCTATTTTCATACTTTTATTCTGAAAGCCATGTTCAATTATTGCTGCATTTACAGCAGAGGATGCGGGTCTCTTACCTTGAAAAGCGCGGCATCCTCGTCGCGGTTGTAGTCCTGCTTCCCGGCGTGTTTCCAGGGGATCCTGAAGATACTCTTCTCCTCGTTCTCCCACACCAGCCCCGGGTACTTCCCGCTGTCCACCTGCTCGATGAGCCACAGCCGCAGCTTCCCGTTCCCGCTGCTCACCGAGCCTACGTAATCCCCATCTACGTTCATCTCTGTCCGAACACACGCAAGACCACTGTAAACTCCTGTAACTCAGTTCAACGTGCTGAAATGTGTAGTGAAACTAATGCAGAGGAGTATATTCTACTAACTTGGCCTGATGGTGAGCTGCTGTTATCTGTGAAACTCAAAACCTGTCAAGTTTTCAAATCAATCAGTCTCAGAAATCTCTCATCATTACGGAGGGCCCGCTTAAATCCTCCGCCTATAGCGCGTGTCGGGGGGCGGGGTCAGAGCCGGGATGCTGAGAGGACGCACCTGCTGTCCGCCCGCCTCTCTCTCTCTCTCTACTGCGAAGCTTATCTGCACACAGCGGCAGATCTCCAGTAACACACCGGGGGAAACCCTGCCGGCGTCAGTCACACAGAAGTGTCACACACCCGCACACACGGAAAATCGTGGCACGGAGACGAAAACAATTCTTTGAAACGATAAAGCTTTACGAAAAGTAGCTAGTGGTCCTGCCGCAAAAGTAAAAGGAAAGAAAAATGAGTTTGTTGCCACAGGAAGATTTTATAGAACCATTGAAATGATACCGCTATAGGTTTATTAGAAACTGTGTAGTTTAGGTAGAATGCACTATTATATAGAAACAATTACCCTAAAGTGAGCACAAAATAAAAACAGTCCATCAAGTTAGAGGTGTTGCCTACAATATAGGCTTTATAAGAACTTCATTAAAAATAGCAAATGTGTCTCTAACGCTTTAAATCACCGATTCTCAACCTATGTGACAGAGGAAGACTTTACTAAAACACATACTACAAAAATCAAAATGATCTCAACATTTTCAAAAATATGTTTTATCCTTATGCAGTATTGACTGCAGTGTTGTAGAAAAATATATATTATATACTATTTGATCATTATTACTGACACATTTACCAATAAGCAGAGGCGGAAGAAGTATGTAAGTAAAATGAGCAATAACCAAGTGTGAGAATACTCTCTTACAAGTAAAAGACCTGCATATAAAATTGTACTTACTGTAAGTACCAAATTTAAAAGTACTCATTGTGCAGAATGGGTCATTTAAGCACCATATATATTAAATTATTGTATTGTAATTATTTTTGTTCATAACTATAATGTTACACTTGGTAAAGGTGGGGTGTATTTGAATTACTTTATAGTATACTGCTGGATTAATCTTTAATAATATATGAAAACATGATAGTGAATTTACATGTTGTGCTTATAACCTAAATCTCCAAAGAAGTGACTAAATCTGTTAAATAAATGTATTAATTATAAAGTACAATATTTGCCTACAATTTATAGTGGAGTAAAATCACATTAGCATAAGTCAATTATAAGTTACTCCACTTTTTACTTGAGTACATACTTAATAACATAACACTCCTGCCAATAAGAAATATTTTTATAGTGCAACAGGTCAAGTAGGAATTATTTCTAAATATTACACTTTTGAGTATTTTATCGTATAACATTTTAATATATTTTATGAAATCAGCATATATTTTATTGTATAATCTCCTAATCTGTTAAATCAATAAAAATAGATAACACAAAGAGCCACATTTCCCTTTAAAAATAAGTAACAATCAACTTATAAGGTTCCTCAAAATGGTTCAGTATTGAGTAAATGTACTTTGGTTTAATTGTTCCATTTTGGCTTGTGCCACCAGTTTATTAGATTTAATCAGTTTAACAATATATTTACAGTAGTTGAGAAAGTATTTCTTGTAATAACTTCATTATAGCAACTTTGAATGCCCAAATGGCCCAAGATAAGAACAATGTTAAGAGAACTAGATCCAAAATAAAGCAATCATTTAGTACAATCACAAAGACGTGAAAAGGATTTAAATTAATCTATTACTCTTTATTACATTTTAGATAAATTGTACTTTTTACCTTACTTCATTTATTTAACAGCTCATCCTACTTAATAATATCCTCATAAAATGTAATGATGTTATATATAAAACTATATTAGTTGTACTATATTAACATGTATCAGTATGTCTAGTCATCCACTTTAAATTGAACCAAGTAAAGTAAAGTATCCAGAAAAGCCTTCTATCGCTGACCAGTTGAGACAAGTTCCAGCAAAGGCTAATGACTATTTGCTTTTTTTAGCAGTAATATGTTTGTTATGCCTTTCTGATCCTTTCCCCCAGCTTGCAAGATAGGAACCACTTCTCGAAATAGATAAAGAAATACACAGTACATAAAACTAAATGTAATGTTAATGATTTATTTCATAAAAAGTAAATTCACGGAAGCCAAAATGGTTGGGAATCATTCACAATCAAATGTTAGACATTACAATTAAAACCAGGCTCTTACTGTTAATCCTTCCTATAATGGCATAGGCTACCGTTACAAGTACAAACAAAAATAAACATTCGTAAATAAAACTGCAATAAATACAGCTTCTGATACTGTTTGACTGGAAGACGCAGTATTTTTCAGCTTTAACACGGTCTATATAGAACGCATAATACTCATTGTTCAAGTAGAGGGCACAGCATAACGTAACTAACAGGGGGAGAGATCGCTGTTAAACATGTTCACTCTGTGGACTGTATATGTACATATATTTCCTTGGTGTCATGCTTGGCTGCTCTTGCATGTTGTTTTGACAGTTTGAGGCGAGGACACGACACGACAAGGGGGGGGCTGAGATAATGGCCGGAAAAAAATCCCCCCCACTCACATGACTCCTTTACGAACATGAGATGTAATATATACATAACGTGTCTCTGCTGTAGCTTCTCTCTGCAGGTCCTGTGATTGAGGCAAACAGCTGGTCTTAGTGGTTGGAATGGTCCGAGCACAGCGATGCTTGAGTTCAGGAAAGACTCTCATGTGCTACTCGTGCCCAGTGGAGAAATGCTGGTTGTAAAGGTATCGTTGCTGCTGCCACCGTTTAATTTATGGTTCAAAAGGTCTTCCACCTCCTCATCATCGTTGAAGGAGTTCTTCCCGTATCGGTCCTTCCACCAGGCTCGATACTGTAGGGGGAAAGCAGAGAAGGGGAGTTTAGGAGTGAGTCAGATGAAGAACTGACAGCTGTGACAGAATGAAAGAGTTGGAAAGTGTTTCACATTGAGGGAAGATTAAGACAGAGAGGAGTCTCTAAAGGAGGATTTCAGTCCTAGTGGTTTAGGCAATTTAACTTAATGGGGTCAGCATGGTTCAATTGACATCCTTATCAGATAGTTTGACAGTGCTTGAACCCGCTCCTAACTCACTTGGATCAGATTTCCAAAATAGGGAGCCTGCATCGGCCAATTGTTGTAACTTTACCAATATCAGATAAGCATACCAATAACACTTGCTCTTTGTATAGAGGACAACACCATAAATGGCTTTGAAGTGTGTTTCATTATTTCATTTGTTACTGTCGGATATTATGTCCCTCATTTGATTGTGCCTCTTCGGAGCAGTGCTAAAGTTTGTTTCATGCCTGGTTGGTTTTACATGTGGCAATTTTATTTTCAAATGTCATTTTTGTTGTCTGCTATAGAGCAACAACCCCGGAAAGTTGTTTTTTGAGACCTCACCTAGCTCCAGTGAGGTAAAAGTGTACTGAAGCGTGTGTGGCATCACTGAGGGGTGGGGTTAGAGGTGCATCAGCACTCACTGCTGACCACAGCCAACAGGGTGTGATCAGAAGTGTGTGGTGTTGCAACTGTCAGAAGTGACACCGGGGACTGTAACAGGGGGCCTCAGACAAATGTCACCCCCCTGTCTCTTCCTATTACCTCTGTTTGCCTCATCAATGCCAAAAACAAGTGGAATAGTCTTGGAACTTTCAACCAGAGAAGGCAATCAAACAATGTTCAGTACTGTTTAGGATTTATAGGGATCTATTGGCAAAAATGGATTATATTATTCATGATTATGTTTTTGTTACTGTCACTTAGACTAAGAACCATGGTGTTGCTGTAACCTTAGAAGGAGCCCTTCCTATCTACATAGGGAGCAGGTCATTCATACAGAGCCTGCCATGTTGCATCTCCAAGTTCAATTGCCCAGAACGGACAAACCAACCACTAACTGAAATGGGTGGGGTACTGTTAATCCCTTATGCATGGATACACTATATAATCACACCTAGTAATGGCAGACTCCGCCACAATCTAAACTAATACGTATATAGATAGGTAAACAAAAGAACAATCATCTTTGGGATTTGATAGTATGAAATGTTGATTATTATAACACTAGCGAGGTGTCACTCACTTCTGTCAGTTCTGTATTTTCGAACTCCTCCAGCTGACGGAGGAAGCCCAGGTTTGGCCCCGCACACGGCCGAGCCGTTCTCACCGCCGCCAGAGACTCCACCCAGCCGCGGCCCGTCCCCGTCATGATGTAGGCCACCACCAGGGTCACACTGCGGGACACCCCCGCCACACTGAGGGCACACAGGTCTCACAGGTCACATTCACTTTACAGAGTAGTGCAACCCCTTTTCCTTTAATACTGTGGTGTAATGTTGGACATTTGATGAGAACAATTTCCTTTTTTTTGGGTACATTTTAAACGAAAATGTGTTTAATAAAAAAAATGTTTCCACTTGAGGCCAATACTACTCATTTTAAACAAAGAGCAATTTAAGCTGAATATCTGTGCTTCTTCCTTCCAACATCCTCATTTTAAGGTTATGCATACTAAAACATAAAGAAAGATTATAGTTCATAGTATTTTTACTCACCAGTGGACAAGGCAGCCCTCTCCTTTCAGTCGGGACTCGTGGATAAACATGATGCTGTCTCTGAAGTACTGAACCCTAGTAGGATAACCACATAAAACACACAATATCAAAATACACTTAAACAGTCAATCTTACATCTTTACTAATTATTTAATCTATGTATTCAATTCCAATTGATAATTCAACCTAATTAAGTAGTGATCATCTTTTCTGCAGTTTGTATTCCATCAAATGTTGTCAACTGCACCTGCTCACCAAGTATAAGACATTATACACTTGGTATACATTTGAGATACATTCAGTAATAGGACTGTATGTGTGCTTCTTAATGTCCTGAATAAGATTACCTAAATATAAAATAATTTCATTCATAAAACATAAAACCAGACATCACAAAGAGAATTGACCAAACTCTTGTAGGACTTGTATTTTCTTATTACACAAACCATCATATAGAAGATATCTCAGATCCTAAATGGAATTACTTTCGAACACAGTGAACCTAACATATAAAATGTGTATATAAATATATATATCATGTAAGTACTCACAGGTTCTGCAGCCTACTGTCAGCAGCAGATATACACAGGTATGTCATCTCCTAAAGGGCAAAGGGGGAGGAGTTTAGACTTAAAAAACATAAAACTGTGTATTTTCTAAATAAACATTTTTGATTTAATAAATGATGATTTCACATTGAATTCTATACGTCATCTATTTGAACTCGGGGGTCTTAGACACTTCCTGTTTTTCAATGTATGGGACAGCCCCTGAAACTTTGCGCCTCTGACCCTGCTGGCTTGGTAGGTCACAACTTAATGATATTCATGTGTGTTTGTGTAATGTGTGTGTTTTTGTACGTGCACCTGGCAGCTGATGGTACATGCAGTGGACAGAAACTACCTTGTCCGGTTATGACTGAACCGCTGCAAAAACCCCTGAGTCCTCGGGGACACATCGAGCTCTGGAAGTGCTCCAGACAGGTTAGCTCGCACACACACCAACCAGACAAAGTACTCGCACAAACACATAAACACAAACATATACAGACACACACACTTACTAACAGACGTACATATTGACCCAGCATGTAACTCTTACATTAGTTTAATTGTGAGGTTATGTAAAACAAATGCTGAGAAGTATCTTTGCACCATCGCTCTTAAAACTCACCAAGACCATGACTCAGTGTTTTTAAAATCACCAAATTGCAAATTCTACAGGAACCATCACCGTTTCTTCCAAGAAATCAATCTGTCAGCAGTTTGACTGTTAGGTATGCAAATGCAACATCCCATCTGGCCATTTGGGCTAAACTGGTAAAAACAGACCTGAGTCATCATTATGCCACAAAGCTAAAAATAGCTTTTGAATGTGAGAACAATCTAACGATCATGATCAAAGATTTGTAAAGAGCTGCTGAATCAAGAGTAGCACAGTTCAGCGACTCAGGCTTAATTTCAATCTTAAATCCTTTTAAAAAGTGTTGGTGGTTGACCAGTTTGTGTAGTGATACTGTAATACAAGTTGCTGTTTCTCTTCAGAGTTCAATGATACTAGCATGGATGGGGAAAGTGTACAGAAATCTCTGAGAACTTCTCATGCTCGCTTTCAACAAGAAAAGATGAAAGTTGTGAAAGCAAACACTGGAAATCAGGATTTTCAGAAACAAGTCAAACGGAGAGAGATGGACATTTCATTCAATTTGAAAGGATGATTAAACTAGAAAATGCATTTCTTGCAGAAAATGCGTGCGAATGCTGTAAACAGTGAACATTTATGGCTGAATTTAGCTGAAAATGCAGAAAAAGCTGAATATGTTATTAGCTGAATGGTAGCTGCTTTTAGCTAAAAAAATTCAGAAAAAGCTGAATATTTCAAAGAAAAGGTTTAAAAAAGGTATAAACAACAACATGTATAGCCTTGATGTCCTTAAATAGCTGAATAATGTAATAGTTGAATGGGTTATGCAGCTGAAAATAGGCTGAAGGAGTTAAATATCAGATATAAGTAGTAGTGAATGAATTTGTATTAAGATGAGAAAAGAAAGTAAAAAGGCTTGGGAAACTTTTGAACTAACTTGATGGTGAATGATCTGTCGCCATGGCAACGGCATTTGAAGACATCCCATAATACTCTTAGATGTGTTGATGGCTACATTGTCACCAAACCTGTGAAGTTTTGGGCCATTTCGAGTATTTTCACTGAAGCTATGAGAAAACCGTGTTTCATGGTGAGCATTGTGTTGCCATGGCAACGGCATTTGAAGAATTCTCAAAACTGTCACGTAGATGTCTTCACGGCTGGACTGTTAGCACACATGTGAAGTTTGAGCACTCTTTGAACATTTGCATAGGAGTTATAGTGACATCATATTTTATGGCGAGGGATGCGTTTCCATGGAAACGGCATATGGTGAGATCTCAGATTTGGCGTAGAGCTGTTGAGGCATGGACCGGTGATATACAAGTGAAGATTGGGGGACGATTGGACCGTGTCCATTGGACTTATAGCCACATCGTTTTTCATGGCGAGTGGTCTGTCGCCATGGCGACGACATTTGATGACACCCCATACTACGCTTAGATGCATTGATGGCTGCATCGTTATCAAACCTGTGAAGTTCTGGGCTGTTTGGAGTATTTTCACTGAAGCTATGAGAAAACCGTGTTTCAAGGCGAGCATTGTGTTGCCATGGCAACGGCATTTGGAGAAATCTCAAGACTATCCTGAATCGTCTTCACAGCTGGACTGTTGAAGTCTGCTGCATGGCAGTTGGAGTGATGACATCATCGTGTTCCATTACACAGGTGTTTATAGTTGAACTAACGAGCTCTGTAGAGATCACAGGTTTCCATTGTTCTGAATGAGAGATGAACCTCTTACATGTGAACGTTTTGTGGAAGAACCGTAACAGATATCTGTGAAATTTCTAAACGTGAAGCATGTCAAGGAAGTTGAGTATCTGAAGTGTAATTTTTGTGTAGTTTTGGGTTAATTATGTGGCCTTTTTGGCAGTTTAACTAAAGGTGAGCGGCTGCTACCATGAGGAAATATCTGCCTGAAATTACAATGGGCTTCAATGGAGGAATGTTGAACGTTTTTGTCACTTAATGCCCTCAAGAGGCATTTTATTTAATATTTTTTCTTATTTTTTCTTTATTTTCCAACCTAGGAGAGGTTTTCCTACATTTTCCATGAAAAAATATGTCTGAGGAGTGTAGGGTTTGGGAAGTATGGCAAGTTTAAAACATTTTTGGGGGAGAATTTTGAGCTGTCCTGCACTCTGTTTTGAGATCAAAGCACTCTAGAGTTAATGAGCTGCTCCATCCACTCTAATGTAAAAATCTTAAAAAGGCCTCTCTACCAAGCTCCAAACTAAATTCAATATCTCAAAAAGTTGAAAAGATATCAAAATTCTTTTATACAAGTTTTATAGCTGAAGGTATTGTGATCAGTTGAAAGTTGGAATGAAGTGTCTGGCTGAAATTATGTGGAAGGAGATGCATTTGGCGCAAAGTGTAGGAAAACAGGATTTGAAGGCATCTCCCATTGACTTCAATGTTAAAAAAATAGTTTAAAAAGCTGAATATTTCAAAAAGTATAAAATATTTTGAAAAAGTTGAAGATTTCCCATCGATTCCTGAACAGGCTGAATAGTTTAATATTTGAATGGTTTCTGTAGCTGAAAATAAGCTGAAGTTATGGAGTGCCAAAGTATTGGCTGAAATAATAATTTGTTTAAGGGGAAGAAGAATACATTTTTGAAGTACTATAGTGGAATGCTGTAAACAGCATTCGCACTAATTAAACTTAAATGGATCGTTAAATAATAAAATCTCTGAATAAAACTGTATAACTCTAAGAACAGATTTTGCAAATGTTATATTCTTATTTCTGCAGCCAAAGGTTCTCACAGTAGAATCGCCTCTTTTTCGACACTCACTTGCTCCTGACACACAAGAAGAAACACCTTTCTCTCCCCTTCATACACGAATCGCCACATATAGATGCAGCTGTAAAAAGTCAGCAGCCTTTTTTTTTTTTTAAATACAGTTGCACTTTCAAGACTTTATGGACTACAAGATACTGAGTTAAAAGCATCTTGTGTGAAAAAAAAAGAAAAAAAGTTTGGTTGCTTGCATCTGATCACAGCTGCACTAAAGACTGAAATTGGCAAACAAATTTTCAAATATTCATGGCTCCTATACAATATTGAAGTGAACCAGAAAACTGCTTATTTAGAGACACCTGGTAAATTCCAGGTCTTCTGACTGATACAAGATAAAAGGACTTTCCGTGCAGAATTGAAAAGACCATCTGACTTTCACATTAATTGAAGTGGTCTATCTCAACTGAAAATCTGACTTTTGAGTAGAGCTTATTACACCACCCTTTGTCTCATATTTATCCGTTCAAAATGCAACTAAATCTGTGGTTAAAGGTGATAGATATGAGGATAACAATTCTATAATGCATATTAGAGCTGAAACAAAAGCTGGTTCAAGTTACTGAAGCAAGCGAAGTCACCTCAGAATTTGTAAAATTGTGATGGATATTTTTCACTTTTTTAACAATTTTTCAGACTAAGCCATTGGAGAATTTATTGAAAGATTAATAGATAATGATTTTATTTTTTTGTAGACTAAAGCCCTGATGAAGATATTAATTTTGAAAAAATAATCTCATGTATGCTGCAAACATTTCATAATTTCAGACCAAGCATATGGGCTCTTAGGAGGAAATAAAGCCACAGAGAATTCAGGGGAGGTTGTACACGTAATAGCTGTATCAATGTTGGGGTCAGAGGGTCCCACAGGCCGAAGTAAGACACAGAGAAGACAGCTCACCTCGAGGATGGGTGCTGCAGTGTCGTGGATGGACAGGATGTGGGTAATGTTGTGCCGCGCCAACAGTTCCCGGTCTCGTGCATCTGCAGAGCACAAATAAATCCGACATCTAAAATATTCCTTACTTCCAATCACAAATCACCCTATGTCAGATCCAATCTAAATAAAGCAGTTTCTACCCTACAACAACCCCCCTCCCCTGATCTCTCCCAAGCAAATAGGGCCTTAAAATGGCCCTTTTTTTTCAACTGAAAGAAAAACCGGAAAACCAATGTTTCTAAAACCGTACAACAGCTTGGCCCAGAAGCAAGAAACAGTAATTCTTCTAATCAAATTTTGTTCTTTAAAAGGAAGCCAAATGTTTTCTACCTTGGACAGATGTGTCTTGAGCAACTTTTTCTCATGCTTTGCACGTTTGCAGGATGCTAATGCAACCCTTAGAAAATAATTGAATGTGAACTTTCCTGTCAGCTATATTAATTACACATACCCCAATTCAACACATATATGAGTTTGTACAAATTCCAAAACCAAAACAAACCCTGATACAATATGAATTGAAAAATAGATGAATAAACGAGTAGGCTACAATATAAGTATTTATGCTAGCTGCAAAGTAAACACAATCTGATTGTGTAACTGTAAGCGAGTGATATAAAGGTCATAAAGAGACAAGACCACACGTGTGTTGGTCATGAGATAAATATTTTCACGGGCTACACAATACCAACAACTGTCTGCTGAGCACATGCCAGTGAAGCTGCCCAATGAAGCCAGAAACACAGTCACTAAATGCTCAAGATTTAAAGATGTTTCACCTTATACAATAATTGTAATAGAAATGTTGGATTTCTGTGAAAACACCATGTCAAATTAGCAACTGGAAAAATAAGGCAAAATAGACGCAAGAGAGCTAATAAGCTAATGTTATCTGGTGATATATCCTCAGCTAATGTTAAAACTAAAGTTACTTTTTGATATTTTCTCAGCTTTTATCTTTACATATCGATTTTGATTTATGAAATCTTGCCAATTTAACTACAATACACACAATAGGCAGTATCTTAATCCAACAATTAGGTCTATGCAGAATAAGAAACCTTGCTAACGCAAATTGCTGTGCAAGCTAAAGTAACTACCTTAGCAACTCCCATCTCAGCTTTTTCGCAACTTCACTGTTTCTGTAGTTACTTTGTTATCATTTTATAACAGACCAGGGAACTTCTTACACTATAAGAGGCTGGGACAATTGAAGTCTCCTCATACTTTCTCACACTTGCTCACACAGACAAGGTTTCATATGATGTAAAACATGCCGAGCAAGTGTGTCATCTTTTCTATTTAGCAGAGGTTTCCTGAAATTGTCCTGTTTACTTTAAATTGTACATATTTGAAAGATATTTCATTTTAGCAGTCACCATTACAAGCGTGCACACATGAAAAAACAAACAAATGGAAAGATGTGGAGTTTGCAGTAGGGACACCCCCACGCTGCGGGGCATCCCCTCCCACACCAACCCTCACGTACTCAGCAGCCCTAAATATATTTCCTCCGGCTTCTGACAAAAAACTGTTTTGTTCATCAAAATACTACTTCAATCATTCTGTCCTACACTGTGACCTCTCCACTATATAGAAACTGAGCTCAGTGTAGCATCTCACCACATGCCCCTCTGTATGAGGAACTGAAACACACTTTACTACATTATCCTGAAAATAAATTAATTCTAAACTCAAATGACAGGAGGCAGGACATCTTACCTTTGATATTTCCGAGATACAGATGAGGCAGAACCTAAAGACAGTTAGAAATTGAGTCAAATAAGTAAGACGAGGCTGTGAACGTACAACAAGGTCATTAAGGTGAATCATTTTTTGTAGAGATTTGAAACTGTACCTTATTAATTCCGTTACCCATGTCAGCAAAAAGTCTCGAGGATTTAGCACATCAATATTAGAGCACAATTTAGATTTTTTAAATTTAATCTTTAGCTCCGGTCAAGCCCTCCCCCCAGAAGTTCACTGTTAATGTGTCCCATCGTTATCAAGCCACCCCTGATGACTTTTTTTTTTACCCAGGATATCATAAAGGGTTTGTCGCGTCCACAGCTCGAGCAACGACTGCTGCTTGATTGAGAATGTGTCGCTTGGGATGACGTAATGTGACCTTAGGAGTGCTACTCTGGTATTTATATTTAGACCAGGAGTTGGGTCATGGGACTGTGGATGGGCACATACCATACAGACAAAGATGGTTGAGGGCCAGAGGATAACAGATCCAACAGTGGCTTAGGCATGGCTATCACTATCTGCTGAGGTCCTTTACCGTACAAGGAGCCCTTCTGGAAGAAGCTCAAATTACCGCACTCACAATAAATCTCCACATAATATTCCTGAGGTATATATGAAGTGACTCATTGCTTCGAATTCCTTAGCAAGGCCCTGGAAAACCTCACGATCTAACAATGATTTATAGAAAATATTGACGTTGTACATTAAATGATGAACATTTGAGACCACGTTTAGGGGCTTTAGCTAATGTGTCTTTTCTCAGTTGAAATTCTCTTACTATATTTCCAGTTTAAGTGAAGTTTCTTGACACAAAGGTATTTTTATATTCCTGCATTTTCATGCAAACCTATATTGAAGATACATTAAAGTCAGTGAAAGTGAAAACTTTGACCAGCTGGTGGCTCTAGAGGTAAGGGTCAAGGAATGGACCACATGCCGTGGCATTCAACACCAAAGTCAATGGGTTCATCATCTTGGGATCATAAATATCTGTACCAAACAACATGGAAATCCATCCAAAAGCTGCTGATTTATTTCAGACTTGTGCGGTTGGACTAAACAGTTGACCCACTGCCATCTCTAAAACCTCAAATATATTTAGTAGATATTAAGTTTACTATTAAATAAAACTTGGACAATTCTTACATTATCATTGTTTTATCAGCTAGATCATTCATTATCTTTATTTAATGTCATGAGAATTGCTAATAAACTTAGTAAGTTATCTTGTAACTGAGAATTCCCAATTTATTTGAAATTCTCAGTGGACTTTCACTTCAAATGACTTGCCACTACATTTCCAGTAAATTATCTTCAACAAATCCTTCCGTGTTCATCAAGATATTTTTAGCCCGGCTTTGTCACCTTTTGTTGTGTTACTGTGTGTGGTTCAGTGTGTGGCACATATGTCAGACTCACTGACAGGCAAAAGAGAGTGGAGGCGTTTACAAAAATCTGTCTTCCTGTCTGCCTCAGAGAATTAGGTCTGAACAGCTCATCTACAGCAGTGGGGTCAAACTTATTCATAAACAGACATTGGAAATGTATAAAAGCACCTCCGTCAGAGAATCACTGTATGTGTAATTGTGTATGTGGGAGGAGGGGATGGGAACTGTGTTGAATAGACACTAAAGTTGATATGATGAAGATTAAATCATACTTTTAAAAACAATTATAAGAATGACCTCAGACAAAAACAATTAGTCAATTTGTTTGTTACACCCAGCAAATGATCAATGCAAGTGCTATCAAATCTCAGTGTCTTTTTTAAAGTTCATTATAGTTTGTTTATCAAAGGTCTAAAGAAGGCTTTGTATATTGAACGTCACTTAGTGGTAACGTGTTTATGGTGGAATCTAAATTATTCAAAAAGAAAAACTTTAAATAAATGAATTTGTATTCTGGCATAGCCCATAGAAAGGTACTTAATTTTACAGGCAAACAGATTCTCAAAAAATGTGAGAGTTAGTATGTTAACGTTGTCCAATGTTATAATGTATTAATTAATAAATGGGGCTTTCTATGGAGCTTTACGTGGAAATTACGTGGAAATTATTCTAGCATTGTATACAGTGCTAGAATAATTCATGACAACACTATAGTATACACCTTCCCGTTGTTTTGCCTTTCGTTTCGTTTTCGTACTTTCGCTCTTTTTTTAAACGTCAAAAGACTACGTGGAAAGTGCCAAACTGACTGCAATTTCCTATTTACCCACAACAAATGTGCAGTGCAGGAATGCATGACTGCAGTCAGAAAGAGACTTTGTTTAATCTTTAACCAGATTATCTTTTGTAGACCTGCAGCGGAGAGCTGCTCAGTCTGGAGTCGTGAGGAATGGCGTTGTTTTTACTGAGAGGACGTTTCTTCAAACCCAGAACTGACATAAAGAGAGCCATGACAGCTGTCCAGTACTGGTAAGGGAATTATGTTAGATGTTTGCATGTTAAACAGGAAATGTCTGCCCTGCTGTTTGCAACCTAGGTTTGCAATTGCAACTCAACGTGTTCCTCGTCTTTTCCGCAGAATCTCTCTCGAGGTTTGTTTGATTTAAAGCCACTAGATGGCGCATTATGTCCACTGTTAAAGGTCCCATGTCATGGCCATTTCTACTGATCATAATTCCATTGTTGAGGTCTTCTAGAATAGATTTATATTGTGCAATTTTCCAAACTCACATTGGTTTCTCATACAGCATCTCTGTATAGTACAGTGGTTCTCAAACGTTTTCTGTCATTCCCCACTTTGAACAGGTGGGCCTTTTCAAGCCCCACCTGTCCCTCATCGCTCCAATAAAATGGTAGGCCAAGATTAAAATTGTCAAATGTATCGTTCTATAACAATATAACAATATATCTCTAACAAATAACATCAGTTCAGAAATAGAGAAAATAAAAGTGCAATGGTGTCAATCCTTGCTTCAAATGGGCTGAGTTCCAACAATTTAGAAAAAGGGCCTACTATGCAATTGTGTTATCAATGGTAGGCCATGCTTAAAATGGTCACATTTATTTAAATAACGTCAAGTTCTACATCATAAAACAAATAACATCAGTCAATAATAACAAATAAAATCAATAACAAATAATATCTCAGGGGAAGTTCTGCCAAATGCCTACAGAATATTCTCTATCAGGACATGTGGACACAGTACCTGCACTAATCAGCAAGACTTAGTCTGAACTGAAGCATTTTCCTCTGGAACAAACTCCCAGAAACCTGCAGGTCCGCTGCAACTCTGACTACTTTTAAATCCAGGCTGAAGACTTTTCTTTTTGTCGCTGCTTTTAATTGAACTATTCATATCTTAGACTGCACTGTAACTTTTATCCATGTACTTTTTTCTTTTAATGTTTAATTGACTGCACTGTAACTTTTATCCATGTATTTTTTCTTTTAATGTTTCTTTTATTAGCTTTTCTTTTTAATGACTGATTTTAAATGCCATTTTCTTAATCTCTTTCATTTTTTGTAAAGCACTTTGAATTGCCTTGTGTTGAAAAGTGCTATATAAATAAACTTGCCTTGCCTTGTGACTTTTTGCTTTGTTTAAATGTTATACTCGGTCGCTTTATCTGTGCAGCATGTATTTATTACATCCCCCTTCCTGACATGTGGTCGCAGGCCCTCCTCACAGCAAGACTCCTGTTTAACAGCAGATCAGAATGATGTGTCGTGTCGCAAGCTGAGAAACAGGACAGATAATCATCACATTCACAGAGTCAACCTCGCTGTAATAATGCCGAACTACAGACTGAGAACAATAACACAACAATGTCGTACAGCAATTAGCTGTCAAAATCACAAGAACATTTAAAACAGAAGCTGTTGGTAATGGTGCATGGCATCAAACCACTGATCATACCTTTTCAAGTTCAATGAAAAACATGAAGGACAGTGTTGTCATGTTATTATGTACAGCTACCTTCCAAGATGAACTATATGATTGTTGTAATTCTTGTCACATTTGTTATTTTCTGTGACTGTCAATGAAAGCCAATGTTTTCAATAGACAGCTATTCTGTTCTTATCCATCACCAGGACCATTACTGAATCAGTCTACCTGTGTGTTTCCCTGCAGCTCGTCGATGGCCTTGGGCAGGCAGCGTGTTAATGGAGTGGATCTGTTCTACGAGCAGACAGGCAGCGGGAAACACCCTGTGCTGTTGCTTCCTGGCGCTCTGGGTAAATACAACAACATTCCTCTTCTTCTCTCTGCCTTATATCGTTTACAGAACTTTGTTATTTGATGTTCCTCCACAGGGTGCACTCGGACTGATTTTGGACCCCAACTGAAGTCTCTGAATAAGGAGCGCTTCACTGTGGTGGGATGGGATCCCCGTGGTTACGGAAAGTCACGCCCCCCAGACAGAGACTTCCCACCTGACTTCTTTGAGAGGGATGCACAGGACGCAGTGGATCTGATGAAGGTCTGTTGATCAGCCTGTTGATTATTATTACCACCTGAATTGCAAAGTTTGCAGAGAAGCCTGTAGCATCATATGTTTGGAAGACAGATGGTGTGTACATCTCAGAGCATACATTTTAGTTCAATGCCATTTAAAAAACTTAAAGCAAGATTAAAAAATAAAATAATAATTAAAAGACAAAGGGGATATCAAATAAAAAGAATGCAGTATTAAATAGTCCCAGCAGCTAACAAACCCACAGGATTATTAATATGAAGACATTTTTTGTTTTTTTGTTGAATATACAAATATTACCATGAATGTGGATAAATACTGTGTTATAACAATACGGTATTCTGTTTTTCACATTTGTTATTTGTTATTTTTTAATCTGTTCGAAATAAAGACTGAAAGAAGATTGTGGAGTGAAATCCATGTGGCATCAGAATAATAACTAACATACCATAATATATTTTCTATAGCACCTAATATACTTAAAATAAGCAAAACTCTTCCTCAAATGTTAAAGAATGAGGTTATATAAAAAAAATACCTCCTCTAAAAAAAAAAGTAGGGACTTTGTTAGGAATGTTTAGTAATTTTCATTTAATTGTCAGGCACTGGGCTTTGACAAGTTCTCTCTCCTGGGGTGGAGTGACGGAGGAATCAGCGCCATGATGGCCGCAGCTAAGAACCCCGACCTGATCAGCAGGATGGTTATATGGGGATCCAACGCCTTTGTTTCCCAGCAGGACCTGGAGCTCTACGAGGGTACACTCTCTACCTCTCATTGTCTTTAACTGCCAATGTA